TTCATACACTCGTGATTGGTGATAGTGTTAAAACTTAAAAAGAAAGAGTCGGACATACAGGAAAAGTAGGAGGAGGAAAGGTGGTTGGGTGTAGTTTGACAAAAAAAATAGATAATACGATATCTACATAATGACAATCGTATGCTTCAAACAAATTGTAGACTCCTTTTCTGATCAATATTCCTTTTTTAACCATGTGTAATCAGGTGCTCCAGATTTGGAATGCACAAATTTATCACGAGAATTTCATTGGAAGCATGTCGTTTGGAGCAACGGACGCAACAATCAATCTGACGCAATTCCCATCGTAAAACCGTTAAAAACTAGTGTAACTCCTTCCCAAATGATCAAGGATTACGCTTCGTAAAGTCATAAACTATAAATAAGCCGCTGCTCAGCTACCGTTTGAAAGTGTGGCAAAGTAATTACGGTATCATAACAAATTTGCTGTTTTGATTGGGAATTCGATAGGCAGGAAAGGTTTCTTGTTTTGATTGACATTCTCAGTCATTATATACCAAAAGAGATAAGCAGTAAGCGGCAGTACTGAAGAAATGTTATGCAATATCACAAGTATCGAAAAGATAATTGTTCGTGTTATTGAGGAAAAAATAAGCCAAAGGCATCGCCGGCCAAGGATTGAATTGAAAACCGGGATAGGAAATGAGTTACTGCGCATGTAACGAGTTGTTTACCAGCCCGTTCGAAAAGTCGTTGGAGTGACTTTTACGACATGCACTATGCAAAAAAAGTACTGTTTGCAAATAAATATACAGAACTGTTTTGTGTAATGTATAATGTTTTGAGAAATTGCAAAACAAAATAAATCTCGCGGAATTTCTTATCGCATTAATGGCTGTTATTTGACGTGTAGGGCATGCCTTAATAACTGATGTCTTAATAATAGCTGTGCAACGCCAAAACACTCGTTAATTAATAAAAAAATTGTGAAGGAAACCCCGCGACGCGCAAAAATCTGCAATGGTACACGGGGAACACTGCATCTGTCAATGATTTGTACAGGTTATCTTCATAGCATCCTCGGTTCACCCTGTGCCCCAATAACTCACTTGTTTTTTATTATTTTTATTATCAACGAAATCTTTTTTGTACGCAGAGAACAGAGAATATGAAACCCACATGGCAATCACACCATGTTTAAAATATGGATGCCTGCTTCCTTTTACAGCCTGCGGCAACGTTTTTTTGTTTATAGAAATTGATTCCTCGATGGAAAAACAGAGAAAAGTGGTGCAACCCAAGGTCATTCAAAGCTTTTGAAGACCACGGAGTGGTCAGACCTACAGAACATACTTTCTACATCCCGAAGTCATGCAGAGTTGGAAAGACACAACGGCAAATATACCCAAAAATTTTCAAAAATCCTAAATTTCAAGTAGATATTTAAATTCCCATGATAAGGCGTTGCGGTAGCCAGCGAAAAGGAAATATCCTATATCGAAGCCGAGTCCGATTTATTATTTCACGAACTGGCAACCCTCGGAATTTCGCAGGTAAAGTGCACAGAACACAACGTCTGCAAAACTGATCTTGAGACCACATTAAGAGTTTACAATTGTCTCAGCTTGATTACAACCGTAGGCGTCGACCAATACTTTCGTCGGCCTTCAAATGCGCATTCTACCGCAAAATCATCGAAATAACTGAAGGTATACCCCCAAATGTAGTCATCAAAGATCATTAATGTTATTTTGTTGTCGTATCAACAAAGCTGTTATTCTCTCCGAGAACATGATCTATTATCATAAAGATGCATTTGATTTATAAAATTTGTTCTCCGCTACACATCTCAAATGAAGTTATGACAAAGATCACATGCTGTCGTATCACTCTATATTCAGAGTCATGACACACGTGTCTTTCGTATGAATTCTTTATCATTGAAAAGACTTTTCTAGAACAAGTTAGTCAAAAACAGTTTTGATTATCTTCGAACATTTTCAGACGACCTTTAAAGATTCGTCGGGAAGAAACCGCGACTATCAGCCACCGAAAAGTGATGATATAAAACTTTTCAGCTCAACTTCCTTCAAGACCGATTTTTTGTTCAAATAAAACCACTGATAATGAAAGAAATCCATTCCAAATTTACTTATCCTTACAGTTAGACGTAATTTTGTGTCATTATGTATTTTCCATAACTTTTATTCATTTATCAGCAACAGCAGCTATCAAATCCATCTTAATTAAACTTTTCAACGACCTTTCAAAGCCGTAAAGGCGAAGATACGTAAAGATTTATCGAACTCCATTAAATTACAACATAATCTTTGCAAATTTCAAGCCCATCGAGAATGGAATAATACCTAAACTCTACGAATTGAACAAAGGGAACTGCGATCTGTGTGTTTACACTCAATTTGCAAATCATGCTTCCAAAAAAATAACAAGAGCCGATGACTCGTATTGTTTGTCAAAAAGTCCTCTATGAAATGCACGTATCATTGCGTTTTGAGAATAGAACTGATAAAAATACTTTAAACTGATTAATTTGGACCATAATATTTACAGTTCTCGAAACTTATTTTCTACATTGTAGTAAGCTGCAGCCCTGAAGCTATCATTATTTTGTTGGAAGAATCGCTTTCTTTGGTCTCAATAAAATAAATTTCATGGTTAACAGTAACTTTAGTTGTAATTTACGGCAGTGCAAAGTCGACGTTTTACAGGTCTAGAATTTCTGTTTTTATTACTTTCAAAGTGTTCATTACAACGTACGGATCATAAAAATATCAAAAAAACTTTCAGTGCCATGAAAAATCAGACTGATAACCATCACTACTACAATTTTAATGTGGTTGTTAAAAGGTGTCAATTCATTCTTTTCAGGTGTATGCAGTACATAAAGAGACCATTAAACTTTACATTAAAGACCTATAGGTTATGATCTGAAGGAATTTCTTGACGAAAACAAGCTCCAATTTACACTACTTTTATGACAAAAGTCGATACGAGTTTGCTCTCATAAAAACATGATGAATCGAAAGTTTAATCAAATTGGAAGGCTCAAGAGTAATGAAACCGAATGTTTTGCGAAGGAAACGCAAAAAATAAAGTTAAAAGTGTGATTGTTTTTTTTTACATTTCCTACAACCTGTAGGAAGTGTAATCGAGTAGGACCCTATTTTTTACACATGTGATGCATTAAAGGACGCTAGCCCATTTAAAAAACAAAACTAACAAGATCAACTTCAAAGCAAAAACTAAATCAAAATTGAATAAAAGCAAAACTTACTCAAAAAATAGGTCCAACAAAACCTCCCATGAAGCCATATACACGTGATGCAGTTGAACAATCGCCAGGTTGACTCAAAACGCGAGATATAGAGTTATTGTAAATCGAAGCCCAAGAAATCTGATCAAACCCAGCTTCCGAAAAAGAAATGACCCCGTCTGATGCATCAAATAGTAATGCTGGAAGCAGAGAATAAGTGTAATACGGTAATAAAAAATATTTACTACTCAACAAACATCCTCGAATGACATTAGTTTTCAGCCAAAATCACAGAAAACAACAGTAAAACTATACAGAAAATGATAATAATTTAATAAACGGTGACCTCTTAAAAAACAATGTCACCACGGCGATGAATAAATTCACATCCCGGCCCCAACAAACCCCGCGAAGTACTCTCTCAAAAACCCCCTGAACATAAACATTCCAGACAAAACAAACACTGTTCCGGGTTCATGAACTCTGTGGCCCGATCTCCTTGGCCTGCGTTATATTTCGACACTTTTCCCGTCCCTCTACACGCTTTTTATTTGAAAAAGAATATTTTCAAAGCGACCAAAAAGCCGAATGCCATCCTCTCTAAACACACTCTCCCCCCGAACACTTGGTCCAAGACGTCGGGCCGTACGTGAGGACTTTCAAAATATATGGGAAAACGAGGAAGTTGGGCTGGGTAAAGCCAGAGGGCTTCGTGTTTTCATCATTTATTTTTGAAGGGAACGCCGGCAAATCCGTCACATGAAACGCCGTGCAAGTGGAGTGAAACTGTGGTCTGACCATTGATGCCGCATTTAAAGTTTTAAAAAATTTATTTCCCAAAAAAGGCAACATGTTGCAACAGCAAAACACAATAAACTTTTGTCAATTTCGAAACTTAGAAGTTATTAATTCGCAGTGTAAGCCTGAAGCGATAGTCAAATAAAGCAATGTGTCCCATCTAATACAAGGCGATCCAAATCACCGTATTCGATCCAACATATGCGACAATATACGACACTGCGCATCCTCGGAGCCACCTTTAGAGCAAAGGTTCATCACCACGCCCAGAACAATTAGAATCGTCAATATCACAATCCAGAAGGCGACATAGATTAATAATAAACAGCACCTTAGATGGGACATCCGGTAAGTTCCACTGGTAGAGAAGATCCTCGGGTATCTTACAAAACTCAACTCTGTGGATCGTCCACTTTCGAGTGAATTCATCATCTCGTTCAATAAAAACAAAATGTGGAAAACTGAGCTTTTTCGATTATGCACATCCACATGGACAAGGTGAAATTAACCGTAAAATAGGTAAATAAATACCCGCACACTCTTCTGGAACACATAAGTTGTTGAAACATCATCTCAGAAGACCCAAATGTGAATAAACACCAACAATAACTTGATTTTTCATAGATTAGTAGCGCCGATGTTCAGTTTTGTATGTAATATTATCTGCAAAGTCGTCAAGCTGAAAAAACACAAGTTTTCGGTACGCACAAAACCCTTGAATAATGTATCAACAATCAATCAATATTTTTGGTCATATAAATCGAAATTGAGATTGGCGGTAACTTTGGGCGCAGCTTGGCGAAGACTCTCTGAACGAAAACATTGAAGGCGCGCAATCGATGGACAGTAAAGTTTAAAAAAAAAAACGGACGCTACACAATTCAAACTGGAACTCCAGAGCACAGTACTATTTTTGAAGATAAGTTGTTAAAAATTAGAAAATCGACCGAATGGGCCATTAGAAATCATGTCCGAAATCCAAGTACCTCCTTCAGAGGGCTTATCGTACAATGTCTTCACCGCGGAGGATGAGTACAATGAGAAGCTGGCACAAGCAGAAAATGCCGAGATGGTAAGTTTATTCGTTTTACGACGCTTCTTCATTACAATATAAATAAAATTTTTTGGCATTTTCAGATGGATAGAATGCGAGCTGCTGCTTGTGTACGCGAACTAACTGGTAATCTAACTCAGGAATATAACCCATCTGAAATCTTCTGCCATGTTCCGGGTCGACTGACCCTCCTGACCACCGGAACGAGGTATCAGGTATCTCTGGGCGAAATAGAACGGAGAATCTACGGCCCGGAATGTCTGAATGCGTCTTTTTTGAGCGGTATATTGAGGAAGTAAGTGCTGATTGGGTTGTTTTTATTTATTTGTCAGGGCAAAGAACAAGAACGTAGGAAAAGAACTTCGGGATAAACTGTCCAGAAAAGGCCTGGAATTGCAACCTGGTCGCCGCAAATCAGCTTCTCCGACTTGTTTTACTGCACTGGTTGAGGCAGAAGCCCGGCAAATGGCCATTGACTTTGGGGATCTGATAAACACCTATTATCCGCAAGATCATGCCGCTGCCTACCTTCTTGACAGTGTACCAAGTCAATATTCACAGGAGTCCGTCAGAAATGAGCTGATTGCAGCGAGAATGATCATCCGAAGACTTATCGACTTCCACATCAGGGAGGATATTGCAGCGCAGTATACTGAGTCAATGGACTTTCCTATGAGCGATTTCAGTAATGTAAGATTGTGTATTATTCATTTTTGTTATGTAATTAGAAGTTCCTCTTGCGTTATAACAAAATTTCTTTTTCAGATGACCCATAAGTTTGGGAGCAAAGCGTTTAATTACGTAATGATTGCTATTGACCAAATTCTAGACACGGCTATGCGAACCAATATTAACCGAATTCCAGAGGAAGATATGCAGGGTGGAAGTGAATCTGCTCCTCAAATGACGATGTCCTGCGTTCCAGTCAATGCCGATGAGGTAAGATATATATAATTTGTTGAACAACCTGCGGAGAGTGTCTGAAAAAGTAACCTTCTTTATTTTAGGTAACTCAGAGTGGTGACCAAGGAAGTCCAGGTGCTCTTCCGAGTGTGAATTCGCAGGGACGTCAGAAAGTGAATGATTTTTCTCCAAAGTTTGGTCCTCTCCCTCGAGAGCCTGTTAGCCCTCAATGTCTACCCGCCTTCGGCCGTTCCCGAATTTTTGGCGATCCAGCAATCCAGAGAATGATGGCAAATCAATTTCACAACATTGACGAGCGAACTGGCGCCGTTTATTATTCAGGATCTCAAAATGCCTTTGCTATTCCTCGAGAAGCTCATAGCCAGACGAATAAGAGTCCGCCGACTGTTCGGCGATGTGAAAATATGAGAGCAGCGACTTCCATGAAGAAGGTCAACTCCAAAATGAACCAAAATGCGGAACAGCAACTTCAGAGAAAGAGGGCATTCTCCGAAAATGTCCATGAGATTACTTTCAAGAAATCTTTTTCGCTGAAAGCACCTGTTTCGCCTAAGTCTACCCAACTTGTTGTTCATCAACATCTACATCGAGGACGAGATGGCTTTCGGTATATTAGAGAGTAAGTATTTTCTTTTGTTACAGTATTACTTCTTTTGTTGTTTTAGGCCGTACATTTTGCTGGAGGATGGTGGTTTTCAATCAGCTCCGTCCACCGTCAACTTTTCTCCTCATTCAAGTTCATCTACCATCTGTTTGGGTGAATCCCCTGAAAAAGAGAGGTCGGACTCAAGAGCAACAACTGAGAGAAACAGTTTTAGTGTGGTTTGGAGAGGAATGGACCATTTGCCTGTGGAGAATGAAGCAAATCTTCCCGAGAGTTCGAAGGAAGTGCAAAGTTACGCCGATTTTGACTCGGAAAAAGACGGAGATGTGGAGGAGGGTGAGCAATCTACCGAAGTTCTGAACGATACTTCTCCGCTGCAGCCGGTGGAGTATCAAGAAAAAGAACAAACGTTGAATTCTCTCAAGTCCGATAATCCGGATGAGTCTCAACTTGTGGCCGATGCTTTCTTTGACCCTCTCGGATTCGATGAAGAAGATCGGAACAACGAGAATCGAGAAAAGTCGTTGGAGTTTGAGCAGGAGTTGATAGAGAAGGTAATATTTTAGTTTTTATTCCGAGTATGTTTTCTTTTCAGGGCGGGGAGTCCCCTTTCTTGGACCGCGGAGAAATGGAACCGGGCATGGCCATAATGGAAAACAACTCTAGTCAGGAATTGCCAACGGCAGATTCGGAAATCTATTTTATGTGATACCTTCTATATTTTTCAATTTCCAAATTCCTTTTTTCTTTAGATTTTTTCAATTTTCTAGCATTTTCGGTTCTTTCAGGTTACCAGTTGCTCTTAATACTGTTTAACCAACCGGTTGATTTCTAATTTCTTTGCCTTTACCCTCCTAAATTTTTGGTTATCGTCTTTATTGATGTCTCCAATTTATATTGTTTCAGGGTCTAGTCAATTAAAATTTAGTTTTTTTCCGGGTAAACCAAAGGACTTCTAGTCCCAAAACGTTACTAAAGTTCAAAAATATTTTTAATCTTTATTTCTCCATTCTCCAAATTTCTAATTACATATGTTAGTTTTGTTTAAGGTTGGTTATTATTTAACAGTGAATAAATTTCTATGAAACTTGGGTGATGTAATCTTTTGCAATGTTGCTGATGGCGTCTCGGGTTATTTTTTCTTTGAGTAAGCAAAATTCTGCAAAGCTTTTTTGGGAGTTACGTATTTTCTGAGGTATTACACTCGTCGGGTGCCTCCCTCCAAACACAAGAAAGAACCCGAATAAATAGTCAAATTTTTATGTGGATCCCATAATAATCCCGATGGATTCATGTTTTACGATAATATTTTTATTATGTTGTGTATAACCTCAAATGGAGTCATTTATGCTCATCTTCAGATGTGTTTTGTCGCTCCCGCTCCAAAGGGTGCTCGAGAGTTATTCCCAAGTAAATTGCGCAAATTTGTGTCAACGTGCCATTTTTGGAGGTCACGACCAGCATAATTTGCTTCCATCAGAATCCTCGAATCGCCCTTTGTTTCAAAGTCATTCCCTTCGGAGTCGCTCTTCTACGAAATGGTGTGGTTACTATCATTTTCGTTTTACTCATTATTACGAATATGTGTGGATGGACAAGAAGCCGTTACCGTCAAGCACACAGACTATTTCCTCAATCAACCGGTCGATGGGGACTTCTCAATTATTGATGAATATCATAAGCAAGTTGCCCATCTACCACCTAATCAGTTTGCGGATCAAAGTCTTCTTACCTTCCCGTCTCAGAATCTTTTGGATCTTCAGTCACCGACTCAGGGACTCTTGAATGTCCCCATGCACAATCTTCTGAACATGCAGGCTCCTCTCCACACTTACGCATACTTCTCTGAACCAGGTGCTCCAAGTCTTAATTCGTATCCTGGATTGGCCTATTATCTTGGGCAATACGGCCAAGAGAAGGAGCCGGCTCCATCCCCCCATCTGGAAGCGAAATTGCGAAGTTATCAATTGATGAAGCCATTGCCGGTGGCTGATGACGAAGATGTAAAACCGAGTATTCCTCCTGTCAAACATCCGGTAAGTGTTTACTTTTTGTTAGGATATTGAATCCGAATCATTGCAACTGTTTTTATTTCCAGAGAAGGCGAATATACCAGACCCAGGAGAAAGTGAATACAATTACTTTGCCTCAAAGTTCATATCAAGTTCGAACCCCAACCAATATGAAGCTTGAAGGAAGTTATGGAGAACCCATCAGACCGATAGTATCAGTTGGAGGGAGACCGACCATACACGATCCCAATGACAGTATTCAAATTCAAACGGGAATGGCTCGAGTTATGATTGGGAGAAAGCCGACGACAACCCCGCCATCAATAGATAGGATGAGTCCTAAAACTGATGGGAAAGATCCTTTTGGAATGACGGATGAAGAATATCAAGAGTTTATTCCAACGATTGCTGTTGAACCAGCCAGCGAAGAAAACGAAGAACCCGAGAACTTGGCGGAAGACGAGGGAACAACCAAACTGCCTTCACTTTTGGAAAGCTTGTCAACGGCGTCAGTTTGTAAGTATAAGAAATTACGTCATAATGATTTTAGTTACCGAGAGTCCGATCGGTAATACTGGCAAAGAAAGACAGGCGGAACTGACTGCCAAAACGTCTAGATCAAGTTCGGTGTCTGCGGTGTCAAGCACGTCTGCAACAGTTTCTTCTTCTCTTGTTTCATCAACAACGATCTCCACAACAAGCCATCCAACTTCGACGAGGAGTCCGGGGCTAGAGAAAATAGAGAATATACGTGAGATTCTTACTGTAACAGACGAATACGAAGTCATTGATAAAAAGCAATCAGAGGTGAACAACAGAAGGACTACTGTAACAGAGAGAGCAAAACCGACAGCTCCAGTCATTGAGATTACCTCTCAATCTACCGCTGTAATAAGTACGGTAACATCTGCTACTGCGACCGCCGCAAGCAAAAAACCTACCCAAAAAAAAATTAGGAAAGCTCCAACTCTTCTGCCTTCAACCTTGGCCGCATCTTCAACATCGTCATCAACTACCTTTTCAGCGAAAAATACAACTCCGAAGACAACTTCCAAGACGATTGTTGCGACCGCACCTGCTGGAAAAACAAATAAGGGGCCTGCAACGACAACTACCACTCCTTCGAATAAGCGGTTTTCCACTGAAAGCAATGAGTCGTCTTTTGCTCCATCGAATGAAATTCCGGAGGAAGAGACGGACAACGTCGAGGTCAACATGCAAGTGAGAACTACTGTAACAGAGACGAGGGGCACCACGACACCAGCAACAACAACTGCAGGTATCAAAACAACACCGGGCTCTAATGCAGAGACGGCGAAAAAATCTAAGACTGATGTGTCTCGTCGAGAAACTCCAGAAGTTGTAACTGCACCAACAAAGACAGTGAATGGATCTGAATTAATGATGGATATAACAGTTACTGCGAGTCGACTGTCTACACCCACGACAATTACTACCAAGATAATCGAGTCGACTACAGTTCCACCTGAAACTTCATCATCAAAACCTAAAATTGCAACTACAACGGCAAAAACAGATACTTCACCAACTTATAAATCATATAAAATGGAGAGGTTGAGTATTTGGGAAATCTTGGAACATAAGAAGAACGATCAGACTGAACTCTCGCAAGATGATACTGACGAGGAGGTTCTGCAACGCCTAGATGATCTGAATTCGACGGACGAAACGACGGCCATCGACCACAAACTCAAAAGGTTCCAAACGATGGCACCCAATGTATTGTTTGGGTTGTAAACTGCCTCGACTTGAAGTTATTGCGGGTCAAAAGGTTACTGTATAATATAATTTAATAAATGATGTTCTGCATTTGAATACCCAAACGTAGACATGGCTCAAGGCGTCCAATTTTTTTCTGATTTTAATAATTTGAGGTCATCACAAGTCTTAAAAAAAGTGGTTTCCCAGCTGTCAATATTGCATGTTTTTTAGGTTACTGTTAGGTTTCCAACCTGTCAGAATTTTTCATTCGCCGGGTTGGTCCTAAAATCGTCATGGATAATATTCGAAAAAAATCAAAGAACCGTCAAAAACTGTATGATTCTTCAATCACTCAGTTTCTTATTCAGCGATTAATGCTGAACATTTTATACCAAAAATTGGTATAAAAGTCGGGCCCGGCCCCCAGCCAGTCTAGTCTGCCCAAATGTGTGGTAATGAAAAATGAGAAGCGAAACTTGCATGTATACATTGAACAAAGTCATCAGAAATGCATTAATGGACGCGGAAGGGACGATATGCGGGGGAATTCCTTGTGGAGACTGCAAGAATTATATTCTTCTGGACTTGGAGTGCTTTTGAATAGGGTGGACAGAACTCTCGAAATTTTCATCAGAATGTCATGGATTCGATCGATAAAGCAATCAGAACTGCTAAAGGACCGAGATGCATACATGAAGAGAGTTTATGGAGATCCCTTGAGTAATTGGAAGGTGAATCCAATGACTACTCCAGTAAATATGTTTACAGGTGGCGGAGAAGGCCAAGTTTATGACGGAGAGAGAATATTGGGATGATTTCCGATATGGTCAATGCTTCGACAGTGTGGAATCAGCTGTTCAGGCAAGTCCGTGATATGCCAGAATGTAATCTTTTCATATTTTAGTGTGAAATTATCCATGGGGAATTTGATCCTAAACAGCTACCGTATGAGAAATACATGCAATGGCATTTTCGCGAATTTTGCGACAAGACGACTGCTCATGGCATACCAATGATTGGACAAGCACCCAATCGATACTATAGGTAAATCTCATCAAGTCGTTTTTTAGTTTAGGACAATATGGATAACCCTCTTCCTTGGCTGCATGATCATGTTGTACCAAAATGCTCGTTCAGTTATTGACAAGTACAATCGAAACGAGAAGATTGTCGATATCGAATTGAAATTTGGTCAGTGACTTTCCTGATATTATAGGTCTTGAAAGTTTAGATACTGCTCCATTCCCAGCAATCACTGTTTGTAATTTGAATCCATACAAAGCTTCGATGGCTAAGGATATTGACTTGATCAAACGGACTTTGACTGCCTTTGATGGAGCCATGGACAAAGCTGGAAGGGAAGAGACAGAAGCCAAGAGAACGAAGAGGGCATCTCACAATTCATCTTCAGTTTTCGAACCAGGGTACTCTAAGTGTCAATGCACTGGATTGGAAACATCCGAGGAGGAGGGGGACATTGTGTCGGCTGAGAAAGGGGAATGTGAAGGAGAGAAATTTAAATGGGAGAAACCGGGAGGAAGTGATGATAAATGTATTTGTGCCTTTGATCGGGCTACAAATGATGCTTGGCCATGCTATTTGTCGAATAAATGGACTCAAGAGGTGTGTGCGTCTTGTGATGAAAGAGCATTTTGTAGGAAATGTAAGTTCGTTGTTGCAGTACCTTATTTTAATTATAGCGCTGTTGTCCTCAAATTCTTCTGATGGGCGGGCTTGCATTTGTGCTCCATCTGGAGAATTTTGTATGGCTTATGATGGGATTGCTGAGATCCTTCAAATCTGGAAATATCTGAATGGAGAAGCAGAGGAAGAGGCGCAATTCATCGAAGCCATGGGATTCAAAGTAAGGTATCCCAGGAATGAGCAAGCTCCAATAATTTCAGGATATGAAAGATGAAGTCGCCATTGTCACCAAGGCTAAAGAAAATATTATTTTTGCAATGTCCACACTCTCAGTGAAAGAAAGAATGTTGCTATCCAACAGCAAACGAGAGCTTTTGCATAAATGTTCCTTCAATGGACAAGCTTGCGACATCGACAATGACTTTATAACTCGCGTCGATCCAATATTTGGCTCTTGTTTTACTTACAATCATGACAGGTATTATCTGTAATATAACTGTAATTCTTGTGATCACAGTTATAATACTTGTTTCAGAAACAAGAGTCTAACTTCAGTTCGAGCAGGCCCAATGTACGGTCTTCGTATGCTGGTTTACGTTAATTCTTCGGATTATATGCCAACTACAGAAGCGACAGGAGTCAGATTGACTATCCATGACAAGGATCAGTTCCCATTCCCGGATACTTTCGGATTTTCCGCTCCAACTGGATTCGTTTCATCATTCGGTCTTCGTTTGGTAAGTCTGGGTTGCATTATGGACCCATTGATACGAACTTTTACGTTCATTTAAACATCGAGAGTCTAGTCGACATAATTTGAACACTCAATTCTCCACAAACAATTTAAATTTATGAAATCAAGTGCCTTTAAATTGCGTGCACAGTGCAACCACAGAAGTTTCCATTGTATGGACACCTTCCGCAATTCCCGGCCCTTTGATTGTGGCCTAATTTCAATGTGCCAATACTGAAGCACTAAACTAGAACTTAAATTTGAAATGTATTTTAGCGTCGGATGAGCCGTTTACCAGCACCTTATGGAGATTGTGTTATGGATGCGGGAGCAGCTTCCTCGACTGCTTACATCTACGAGGATTACGCATATTCTGTGGAGGTACCGGTATCTTCAAAGTGTAATCATTTTGTCTACAGGGTTGTTATCGGTCTTGTTTCCAACAGAGAATGTTAGATGAATGTGGTTGCGGTGATCCTCGATTCCCTGTCCCTCACGGGCATAAACATTGTCGTGCCGCTGATTCCAATGCCCGTAAATTGAGTGACCGATTTTATAACACTTTTTGAGGTAAATGTTTGGAGGCAAAATTGCAAGAAATGGGAGGCCATCAAGGGAACAGTAGTATGGCTTGTCACTGTGCCCAACCGTGCCGTCAATCAATCTATTCAGTCACTTATTCTCCGGCTCGATGGCCTTCAAAGTCCTTACAGATTCAGATTGGAGTTTGCAACAACACGCCAGCTGAATGTACAAAGCATTACAAGTAGGCACTTTATTGTTTCAAATTGAGTGACATCATTTGCGTGTTTTTCAGAGACAACGGCGCCATGTTAGAAGTATTCTACGAACAGCTCAACTTCGAAATGCTCACGGAATCTGAGGCTTATGGGGTAAGAACGGTGTACATTTTATGGTGATACCAATTATTTTAGTTGGTAAACTTACTGGCAGACTTTGGAGGACAATTGGGTTTATGGTGTGGAATCAGCTTCTTGACCTGCTGCGAATTTGTATTCTTATTCTTTGAGACAATGTACATGTCCATACAGCACCAATTGCTCTTACGGCAGCAAAGAAGAGAAGAAAAAGAGAAAGAGCGCATTTTGTACTGACTAATAGCTGTAAATTTAGTAGAAAATTACTGTAAATAAATTGCAGTTTTAATGGGCATGACTTTCAGCTCTGCTGATTGTTCCGCCCGCCAGTTTGGAGGGAAATTCGATTAACGGATTACGAATCGGAAATAAGGAAAGAGCGAGCAAGGAAATCTCTTGACCATAATTGTTTTATATTAAGATCTAAATATGTTCACCCTGCCAAAAAGAGATTATTATTATTCGTTAGTGCCGGATATCGGTTGGCCACAGGATGAGCTACCTCCAATGGCACCTCAGGACTCGATACCAAAAATTGTAAACTATCTATTTAGCCATGTTGTTGTAAGTCATCCTTTCTGTAATATTTGTTTTTTTAGGTAATTCCAAATAGATTGGCGTTAAAGACCCTTGAAGGTATGTGTAAGCGAATTCAGAGCGATGAACAGACCCGAGATACTCAACTAAACAACCTGATCAACCATGTGACGTTGCAGAATCGATTGTCTTCGCCTTGTATTAATGTCCGAAAGACGCGAGATGGACGGATCCAGGTGAATTGGAACGTTTCTGTAAGCTATTTTACAGGTTGGAGGAGCCAAATACCACATGTCCACAGTTCTTATCCGATTATTTTGTTATCCAGGAGTGGAAAAAGAGAATCTAATAGAAAGCGAGGAACATTCGAGAATTCAAGGGACAAATGTAAGAGAATAGCGCGCAATACATACGAATCATAGTATATATGCGTGAACCCCGATCATTATTCCGTGAGAGATTACAGCCAACCAGTCTACCCAGTCTCCGTAGATTATTCCATCAAAAAACGTCCTCGATTTCCTTGAGAAACAATAAAAGTTATTAACTTTACTTGATCACATTCGGGATTTATATTATGAATATAATATTGTAATCTATTCTAATTCATGTTTAACGAGATCACTGGCAGCTGAGAGGGTTTAAAATCATGCGGAAACGACAACGGTTACGCAATAAAAGTAGGTGCCCTGAGGTCATCCAATTCCAGATTCCGATGAGTACTTCGTTCCGGAGTGTATTCTCTCTTGGGAACCGACCATGGAACGAGCGAAGTGTATTCATGCCGACAGTTATATAAATGATATGCATTCTGAATTATGACTGCGGAGATGTAGAGAAACAGGAGAATACACCAGGATTTCATTCCCAATCCGAAATGGGCCTGAAGGAAACTTACTTTAGAAAAAGATTAACTCACCTCAAAGAAGTATCTACTCGACTGGATGTAGGCGTAAGTCTCGGTGCACACAGCAATAACGATAATCATATAGAACATCACTAAAAATATAAGTTGCACACCGAATCTATTGCTCACCGATAAACCCGGCCAACACCCAAGAAAACACTTTGAGGTAAAAGATCCCATTCTCCGTCTGTTTCTGCCGACAACACATCATCAATGAGATCACAAGATCGGCTGCATAAACAGCAAATAGCATGATGGCGACATAATATGCTGCCCAGAGAACTAAAAGGATGTCTTATATGCCGCTTGAAGTAATCGATGACTTACATCCGCCGGGAAGCGTGACATCTTCATGGTTTAAATTAAACCTCGACCAGTACTCGATCCACCCTTTGTCAATGTTATCGCGGTATGTCCATCGCTGACACTGAATATCCCGGCTTTGTTGTGTATTTATTGCACAATCACTATGGGCAATCCCCCTCTAAAATCATCCTCAGATAGATATTGTTACTTGTTCTAAAAATGAAAAAAGAAAAGAAATCCTTACCACAAATTCATAAGTATCATTCCCTGAGGTCAATTGGATCCATTGATGGTAATGTGTGTCCACAACTGTACATACAAAAGCGACTAACTTGAAGAAAAAAGATATTGAAAGCGTCCAAAATACAATCTGGTCTTGAACTGAAGCACTCTGCACGGACTGTGTGTCATCATCATCAGGCATTATTTTACTAGAAAATCGGCGTTTTAGAAAAGCTAAATGTTAGCGATTTTCAAACAAGACGAAAGGTAAATAGTAATTAGTTATGTAAATGGCAAGGATGACCTTGAAGATCGTCCTCCTTTACTTGAGCAAATCGAATAATGAATAAATGAGTCATTAATTATCGTTAGAAAAACATGAATCATAAAAAATGAAGTGGTTCTCTCAGCTGCGCTTTTTACAACATAAACAATCGAATTCTGCACCGCTTATTGGGACACTGCGGCCTGTTAAACTATGGTATTTGAATAGGCAAACACCTCTAAATTATATAAACGCCTAGACCTTTACGTCCTTAACTTTCCACCTGAAACCTTGCGTTGATTCCGTTATGCAAACAATTAGAGTACTCAAGAAAAGGCTTATCGTTTCGAAAACAAACTCCGTAAGATTGTGTTCTCTAAAATTAGGAAAGTAAAAAGAGGTTTAAAGGATTGCGTGGAAAACGGGGAAATGTGAATATTAGGACAGGGTGGCAATTATATTTGGGCCTCAGGGCAAGTTTTCAGAATGAGCGAGAACAGAATTACACCGACTTAATCAAACTTTAAACATTCCTTATTGTTAGATGGACATTAGGGGATATTATTTATATGCAACATTGAACAGTCATCTCCTTCAATTTTTATTCCCTGATCGGCGAAAATTGCGCGAAGGACGGAAAGTCAAAAAATAAAAGAAAGAAAAGAGTTAGGTAAAGGGCATAAGAACGTAAAGGTCGGTTATTCATGGGGTACCTTTCTTCCTTCAAGTTTCCGAAGCGACCTCGCTAAAAATCTTTTGCAAAATGAAGCAAGTCAAAGGGTGAGAGATGAAGCCTCCTCAGAAGCGAGGAAGGAATACTTTACTCTTTATACCAATCGTAAGTAAAGTTATGTAAGTAATCCATTAATATTACCTCTAAATTAAGTGACTTTTGGCGGGCTTAAGACGCTTAAAACGAGACCGAAATGTCAAATCCATCTCAAAATCCGCTCTTTTTAGAATGCACTAAATTCTTTTTCTGTCGAACTCAGCACCCATTTCCGGCAACGCTCTGGAAAGCCTTTCATAAGGCCAGATTCTGTTGTTCCCTCGTATCTTTAGGGCTTTCCAGTGAGAACTCGTTTGTTTCCGTCAGTTTTAAACCCGGAGGAAATATGAGTGAAATAAAGAATACGTGTACAGTAAAATAACATAAATGTTGCAAGCGATAGAGGAGTGACATTACGACGTCCGGAAACATGAATAACATCTGGTCTTCCCGAAAAAGCGAGCGACACTTCGTCTTCATTAATACCCATGGGAATCTGAGATCGCGCGAAAACGAGGAGATGCTCTAACGTTCCTCAAATCTCCTTATTGCCTCCGGCAAGATTCTATTCCCCTTCGGCCAGATGGGTAATTAGCTGGTGGTGAGTATATTAAGTTTATTACGAAATGTAAAGTTTCAGCAAGAGATGCTCAGATTATAAACTTTTGAGGATAAATCGCAGAAAACTCTCGTCATAATGACATTTGGCCATGATATGATTTGAAACTGCCAAGCGGCTTGTCATTAGGACAAGAGTCGTCCGATGAGATTATAAGATGATTTTCAGGGTAAATGTAAGATCACACGCATCGAGATCGAACTTAAAAATGTTTTCTAAAGCTAGTAGTCTACTCTTTAAACAGTATAGCTGAGGTAGTATGTATATATCAGAATGATCCATAAATGTATTGTTGATCCACAACTCCATTTGCAGATTCAACAGCATCATCTTGGCCATCACTTTCAATAAATGGCTGAGGTTTTGTGGCTTTTCTTTTCTTCGCACCCTTTGGCAATTCCGGCCGTACGTTACTCGTATCAGCTACTATTGTATTACCATTCGTTTTAGAAGCCTTTAAATCATCTTCATTCAACATATCCTCAGGACGTGGATGTTTTCTGGGTCTTCCTCGGCCCTTTTTCAGTTTGATTCCGCCACCGAGATTTGTGATGAACTTCAGATTTAGCGGCTTCGGCTTTGATTTACGGCCTCCCCTTTTCTAAAATATATTTTTAGCAAAGGAAGATGCTGGTATTACATTCGAAAGAGGCGATAAAACATTATAAACGACAAAAAGAAATGGAAAACAAAATTCTACAATAAGAAATAAAAAATAAAAATTTACCTGTTCACTGCTGATGATTTCTTCGCTGTTTTGAACCACTTTAGAATCCCCATCCATCGTATCTTTGTCCTGTCTGAGAATAGCCGCAGACGGTCTCGTACTCGTTCCTTGATACTGAAAATAACCGTTTCAAACCAAGTTAAGCAAGACGGAGAAGCAAACAAGACCGGAACAACCTGAGGGCAACACCTTTTCCTAATTTATTTTTAAGCCATAATATGCTTTCTGTCATCGTATATTCCCATGTATCGCGTGTCAAACCGGTGAATATACATACTTAACAATATTTTTTTAAAACTTCCACTTTAAATTAACCCGGTTTAAAGCAATCTCCTAAAAGTACCTGCAGGTCGAAACAGCATCTCAAAAACGAGGCCAGATGTTAATGAAACGAAATTACATTTCGGACGGGACATTCAAAATTCGGAAACAGGGACTAATCCCGAAACGAAAGCGCCAGAGGGCACGAAAGCAAAAAATAGTGATATCACAAGGAGAAATAAGAGAGACCAACATGGATAATATGCAGAGGTGAAGGGGGAGGGAATTTCTGCAGTTTTGTAAAACAATATGACATAAGAAATTAAACAAAGGTTTCTTTCCTTCATAAAAAGTTTTAAAAATTTGGTAAGTTTTTATGTCGCAATGTTACGAATAAAAAAAGCGCACAACATGAAATTTCAAATGTTGAAACTTGCAGGCTTACATACAAAAAAAAACTACATGACAAACGCAATTTTATAATAGCAGTAAAACACATACCACTGACACTTTAGGTGGAGATGCCGAGTTCTTGACACCCTTAGGGCGACCTCTTCGTTTTGCATTGCCAGTCTGCCCAGTATCATAAGTCTCTACAGCACCTTTTTCATTTCTTCTTTTAACAATTGTTCCTTTGCTGGTTCTTGTCGAGTAATCGGACTCAACTGGGTCTTTTTCCTCTTCTTTCTTGGAGCTATGATGACTACTAATGCCCTCTTTGTGTTGTGAAGTGCTTGGCTTTTCATTGTCATCATCTGGTTTAATAACTTCAACTATTTGATGCCCATTATTATCGCTCCTTATTCTCATCTAAAATTTAAACAGGTCATTCCGGACATAAGAGTACTCCAATCGCACAAACTACATTCCTTTCTTGTTTAAAGTCGTCGACACTTAACAGGAAACAGCAAGTATTCCTTTTACACTTACCTTTAGCTTTAATCCGCCATTTTGGAAATTTGCGTCTACTTTGTTGGGTCCTAATCCATCGCCAACTTCCGCTTTCTGCAAGGTAACAAGTAAACAACAAAAAGCAGGCAAAGAAGTTATCGGAAATGGTTAGATACGTAATAAAAATGTAATCAATTTTGTCATCAAGTGGTGGGATTTAGGTGGTACACAGAAAACACGTGGAGATTACAGTTTTGGAGATTATTTAGTAATTTCCGGCTAGGTTTAGGGGAAATAGAGATTATTTTACGCCCATGGAAATAAGAATTGTATTTCAGATGTTTAGAGAGAAGGGGGGACTTTACAACGAAACTCCAAAATAGTAACACTGTTAATAACACTGCTAATTCTAAGCATGGGTATTACGGCTTAAAACTCCGAGATGATAACTCTCACTCACATTTCGTCTTTTGGGCCGCCCTCGTCCGTTCTTCCGTCCCTCCATTTAACTGAATCCTGAGGTAATAGCTCTACGTTCTGTACACTATAGTCTGAAAATAGTTGTCCGGTATGCTGATGATAATACGTCACGAAAATTGGCATTAGACAACGCGCCGAACACTCAGAAGTCTGGAAAAACACGGCAAGCATCCAGTTAGTCTCTTTTTTCCGTCCTTTTTCCCAGTGCTTCTCCTTTCGGCCTTTTCCGAGGCTATTTGGCCTTCGTTCAAAAAAAAAGGGGGGGGGGGGATAGATAACTCCAAAAACAGATTCGGAACTCTTGACGAAAGCATTAATAGACGGGAGAATTGAAAGGTGTAAACAGTAAGATAAATAATAAAAGGAAGGGAGAAATAAGATCATAACGTCTATCTAGGTTATTGAAACCAATAACCAATCTGGGAGTTCGATATTGTTTTTGTTTGAAGAACAGATCTAACTTTATATTTATTTGGTACAATATTAAATTCAACAACGGCTGGCATAAATTAGTACTCGACCGACTCAAAATTTATTTGAATCCACGTAGTATTAGACGGTATACACTTAGACCTCAAAAATACAAAAAGATGATAATTTTTTTAATGTTTGTTCTGAATTAGAAAAAAAGACTATAAAGTAACTTTCATATATAAACAGAGATGTGGAGGAATTAAAAGGAAGATAAAACGAATCCAGAAATACAAAAAAAGTTCGAACTCAAACGAACACATGGTCTTCAGAATGAATCACGCAAGATTCCCATCCTTTGCAACCGCCAACCACTCGTTAACCACCTTCAAATCCCTTTCGACTAATTGGAAATGATCGTCTTTAACCCGTTCATGAGTAATTTGCAGCTCTTTATGTGTCTCGTTACATTTCTGAAAGCACTATCCTTGCCTGACATTCTCCTACCGCTTTGTATATCTTCAATTGCTCCAAAAATCCTTCATTTGGATTAATAAAATCCCTTCTGGAGGTCACAAATCCGATAACATCAAATGGGTCCAACTTTGTAATAGCCATAATATAGGCAATTACAATTGTCGCTGATCGACTCACTCCCATTAGACAATGAACTAACACATTCCCTGGAAATTTTTGTTTTTTGCATATAAGGCGCGTGCGTTCTACTTTTCTTCGGACTCCCTCGCAGAAAACCCGCATTTCTTGTCTGTGGGCCCGCTAGACAAGAAATGTGCAATTCTTGGCTGAGCAGAGAAAAAAAGAAAAAAATCTTCACGGGGAGAGAGCAGAAAATTGCGCAATGTTACGCAATTTTAGGCAAGAATTGCGCGTTTCTTGTCTAGCGGGCCCACAGACAAGAAATGCGGGTTTTCTGCGAGGAAGTCCGAAGAAAAGTAGAACGCACGCGCCTTATATTATACTTACTATTTGCAACTCGATAGAAATGAATAAAATTAATGCATTCTTCGAAATGCTTTGACAAATCGCTGCTCGGATCATCCTCCAGGTGTATCTGCTTGTATTTTATTTGTTTTTCCTTTTTTACGGATGTCGTCATGATCGATAAAACAGCAGATATATTAGCCGCCTCGAGGCTCCTTCGGTTTATTGCTGCGGAATAACTTCCCAGATAAAGGCCCGGCAAGATCTCATGCATGTCGTTCCGCTAAAAACAAGTGAATTTTGGGAGTGAAAATCATGAACATACAGATTTGAATTTCTGCCGCCATTTTCCGAGGTTTTCCGCGGCCTTTTTCTGCTCTTTGCTCAGTTTCATTAACCAGTAAATCAGATAAATTTCTGAATAGTTTATTGGCTAACTGCTTCTATTTGCCGTGTCACACACCCATTTTACAACGGAAAATGTACCTTACCTTCATTGATAAATAAATATTTTCCGCATAACGAAACACCACAAAACGACGAAATGTCAAAATAGATTTCTGCTCAGAAAAATATTGAAGCTGACTGTACTTTAATGATTGTCAGATTCAACTCTTTCACACGCGAGTTTAACATAAACTATGATGATTACCGTTAAAGTCAGTCGTAACTACTTTTACTTTTTTTACTGCTTATTTCATCGGTCGTTTTGATAAGAAGGAGCAATTTAGTGCGGAAAATTTTTTAATTCTTTCGATTTTGTAGGAAAATCTACAAAATTTTTCCGAAAAAGAACAATTTGACAATCAAAATGACACGACGATTTGACATGACGAAAATGACGGCGGTTTAACGGCGAGTCTGACGCGTCAAGTTAACGTCTTAACAACCCTAATGTTCAACATGTCTTTTGGGTTCGAGTCCCACGTTTGACGTTTATTTAGCAACTGTACAGAATAATAATATAATCTCTGAATGTAAATTACAAAATTATGGCGAATATGATATCACTTATAGTTAAGGTATGCAAGAGAACCCGAGTTTTTGTTTTCTTATATACAAGAAGAGTCCACAGCCAGTGGATATCACAAGTAGTACTCGTCTATTTTTATTGCAGGGACACCTTTTTTCCATTTGCCTGAGCTACCACACGGTCATCATTAACCATCAGAGAGATGGCTCCTTTACTGTCGTTGGTCTGAATCGACATGGCACTATCCATATCCGTGGGCCGGTAGGTCATGTACCCGATGATTGCGGCCAGAATAGACACTAGTTTGCAGACAATCGCTGTAAAATTGAAATTTACGTTATTTTCATTGATGTTGCTGGTCCGCTAAAAAAAGGCTTACTTACCCACAGCCAGAATGGTCCAGGAAAGATGAACAGGATCATGAACCCAGCACGACTGTTTGTGTCCACACGCCGACTCTTTCCACTTCAAACACGTCGTATCGATCATTAATCCGAACAAAATTCCTCCAGGAATAAACCCAAGCAACCGTAGGAAAGTCCAGTGGACTCCGATAGCCAAGGTCCGTTGATGGAATGGAACAACTCGCAACATAATCTGCTGTGACGGGATTCCAGTGGCAAAACTTGCAACAACCGAAAAGAAGAGTAACACGAGGAAAGCCCACATTGGCCAGCCGCATTCTCTAGTACAATATCCTTGTCTGACCATCATCGGATCGTCGTCAATCAACGATGACAAGGACACGGTTCTATTAGTAGAAAGACATCCACAATCAGTCCACATATCTCCAGTAGCCTCAATATGTTTCTTCTTACATCCAGCAAAGCAAGGGGAGTAGTAAGTAATCCCAGAACTGTCATCACAGACGGGATTCCAATCGATTTCATGACAATGGCAGTCGGCATTGCACGTAGAAGATAAATTAGCCACACCTCCCTTTAGTTTACTGAAAATTCAAGTTATTACGTCAAATATCTCCATATTGTCATTCATTTAAATAGGGCACCTTTTTTCATATCCAGTAGTGATCCCAGCAAATTCTCTGGCGGGGCATTGAATCGCAAACGATGCAATCAGCGTCAGTGCGATAACATGGCAAATGATGATGAGTTTCAGCATTCCACCGACTTGTAGATCGAGTTTCCTAATTAGAATTCCACCCAACATTACCCCAGTAGCTGCAGCGAAGATTACAACAGCTAAAAAATAGACGAAATTGCTTGGCTCTTGATAGGAAAGCAATATTTTTGGCATCTGTGCTTACACGATAAGTAGGACGCAATCGTTGGAGTTGTACTCAGAAGAGCTTCCAGAATCTTTGGCATAAACGCAGCAAACCCATTGATGATAATGGACTCGAAGATTCCGAGAACAATACATGTCACGAACGTGGGATTCCGAAGGATATTCTAAATATCGTTAATCGAAGTTGTGGAAAGGATTACTTACATAAATAGCTTTAAGAAGAGCTCTCCAATCAGATGGCTTAAAGTCCCCGTCATCTTTTTGTTGAGATACTGCATGAACTTGATTTACATCTTTCTTTCGGTGCCTTTTAGCTTCAGGCAACTCTTTTGCGAACATCATAATTGGAAAAGCGTTGATTAGAGCAGCAATCGCACATCCAAGGAAGCCCAACCACCACGCTCCCAGCCATCGAGGATCAGCGGAGTCTTTCATTGGAAGTCTAATTGTAAGAAAAAATTATTTTTACATTTGGTTGTTGCAAAGACCAAAGAAAAAATAGGTGACAAAGAAGAGAAACATACTTGGAAACATCAACTCTATCGAAATCCGTATAAATAGTCAACAGAAAACCGCCGATAAATAAACCAACAACTGGACCAACACTTGTTACAACACCGTGAATGGCTGAAGAAAGAAGTTTTTGTTTATGTTACATACATATACATGTGCTCTTGATGTTTAAAATAGTGTATTTTAAACCTACCGAGATACACCGGGGACGCTTTCTGTGATACATTCTCATCTATGTAAGCTGTTCCAATTGAGAACAAGGGCGTTGACCCAACTCCATGGAAAGTCTGTCCCAGCAAAAACATTAAAAAGTAAGGGTTAAAGTAGGAAGAGTAACTGTTGTCGAGATTTCGGTCGCACAGGGGATGATCGATGTCCCTAAAAGTGAACAGTTATGTAAAATAATTCAGAAAATTATCCTTACTCGATCGAGCAAGTGTCCGTCTTGTTCTCCAAATTTCCGACCACATGAGGTGAGATCATATAATGGGGTAGAGCGCAGATCAAAGAACCGATGGCCATAATAAAAGCACCGAGTCCTATCCATCGCCCTTTATGACCAGTACTTCCCCAATGACAACAGGGGAACACTGCCAACAGGATGGCAAAGTCATACCATGAAGATATGATACCTGTATGCGTGCTGAAATAAGATGGTATAAAGAGATTTCATTACTAAATACCTCGTCATTTCGAATTGTCGTTCAATTGTTGATAATCCTACTGGAAATATTGAGTTCACGACAAGACCTTGGATAAAAGATGCCATCCCTAGCATTGAAAGGAGCCATTTGGCGTTGTGAAATTTTTGAAGCCATCCGGGAGTACATCTGGAACATACAGAGTTGGAAGAGACGCGAATCAGTAATAAGCTTACGATCCATATCCACAAAGAAGCTCCTCATCCTCGTCATCAGACGCATATCCAGTCTGCATTGAACCCGTTGACTGAGAAACGTCATCCCTGTCATTTTCGTAAAACTTCGGCCGCCCATTCGGCACTTCATCGGCCGGCATCCTGAAGATACACTTGTTAAATTATTTGGTAAAATACGCATGCAAAAGGTATGGTCTTAAAATATAATTTATTTTTTTTAGTTTATTTTTCCTTTTAATTTCACTATAATTTCCATCAAATCGCGAAAAAATAATAAGCGAAACCAAGGTCTCCGTTAACGGAAACTTTAAAAACGTGAGAGAAAAATGAGTCCCCAGGAAAATAATAATTGTAATAACTTTCAGGACGCAGTGAATAAAAAGCATTGCGTTGAGACTTTACAAAAAATTAAGCGACAATACGGTCAGTTATCATGCGGCGCGAAACATATAAAGCAAAGTGTAAACAGGGCATTACAAACTTGTTTACTTTATACTCTTTGTTCTACGACAGTGATTGCGAGTGTAGATGTAATGCGAGTTTAAAGTTGAGAGTCATTCGGTAAAAGGTTGTTTGGCTAATAAAAGGACTTAGCGAGCATTGGGAGTGTGCTCAAAGCATAATTTGGGACTATTTTTATAAAGTTCTGGAAGGATATTAGGCAGAGAAAACTGTAAGTATTTCGAACTACAACCTACTCTATTTACGCATAGTCTTCGTTGAAGAGAATGTAGGCACTGAACCAATCTAAGGCTAAAATTTTAGCTAATACCGGAAATGTTGAAGTTGAGACGGTTAAGAAACGTGGCCAATCTGTGTTACTTTCAGGACCATTATTAATATGTTATGCAATAGTGTCTAGACATGTCTTCTTTAATTTAATTTAGCAGTCTAAGATGCTGACAATTGTAACCCAAAGGTCAACAAGATCGAAGAAAATAATGGACTTTACAATGGAATTCTATCATTATTTCCGCTATTGTAAGCCAACGCGCTTATAAAAATTTAATCGCCGGCAGTAAAAAAAGGGGGAAAGGAACGGAACTTTGAGGTCTCTGCTGATCCTTATCACATCTAAATAAAGGAGGACAAGTGTCGCTGCGGGAAAAGAAGAAACTGTTCGAGATCAAAGAGTAACGGGGATATCACCTTTTTGTGAGTTAGAAACAAATCGATTGAAATGCCGGCATTCCTTGAATTAAGAGGTTAGAATTCGCTAAGAGAGCGATCATTTTTAATAATCATTGGTGCTTAAAATACACATAATCAATTTTTGCAGAAATAAAGAATTAAATCGGAATTGCTCATTTACAACTTGGGGGGTACAAAAAAATGAAAGAATTTACATCGGAAATATATTTAAAGAGCACATAATGCCAGTGTTTGTTGTCAGCGGGTATCTCAGCATACTTCTGAATAAACCACGAATACATTCGAGTCTTACTAGTCTCAAACATGGTCACTGATAATTGCAAACCTTATTCCATTCGCAAAAACTTTAGAGAACATAGAAAAGACGTTTACAACGACATACTTCATTGCACAGTCAATTTAAGAGCGCGAAAACATGGAGATCAAGTTGGTCATTATTACAGTAAAAAATGCGCTTAAATTTCAATCGGAAATTCATTAAAAGCACGCGAGCTGACGTTTTGATGAATACTTATCAAACCCGTAAAGCTTCCTTGTCTGGCGAGACAAAGGGCAATAACAGTACTGGAGCGATTAAGATACATGTAGAAGAAATGCTAATTAAGATATAAGAAAGCTGAAAAATCGAAGCAATTAGCGAAAACGATTCAATACGTAATGTTATGGATGACGAGAGAACAGCAAATTCCCGAAAAAAATGGTCAGAATGTTGCATTAAACATGTTTTATGACACAATTTGACGAAAGACCACAATTATAATTTTGTTTGAATTAAAATTCAAATCTCTCCCTTCTTAATAAATAATACGTATTTAACACATTCTCCACTCATGGATATTACAATTGCCCGGGGCATTTTTTTTTTGCAAAAAAAGAGCGGAGCCTTCATGTCTCGGGAGTGTGCATATATTCTGAAAGGACCGCCGCATCAAAAACTGACAAAACTGTTTTGTATTTTTTTTACTATCAAACAAGTGGAAGAATGGCCGTCTAAGAATAATTGCCATCCATTTATTCAAAGAAGAAAGGCGGAAATGTAATATGACCCGAATTCCCAAAGATGAAACAGAGATGATTCATACAGAATGAAGCGAAATTTGATGTAGTGGTAGTAAAGTTCAATGTGAGTAATATGATGTGCATGAGTTAAGTCTGGTGAAGGACTAATCAGATATTTTTTAATCAAATCAAGAGGTTTTTTCAAGTGTCTACAAAAAACAAAACATTTTATTTAAAAGGTAGTCAAATCATCGCAAACCAAATAAAAAAGTTATGATTTACTTATTGCGATGGTTGAGGTATTTCTAGCGAAATAAACTAAGCGGTGGATTCCCTTTGCTCTCTTAAAACCCGTTCCCAGAACTCTTTAGGCGATAGAAAGTTGTATAAAAACATCGGTTAAGGTTTGGAACATAAATGGATGAGGTATCAAGTCAAAACAAAACATCTGTGAAAGCAAATTCAAAATTATTAACTTGGAAATATCGAGAGTCGATAAGCAGACAGATTTGCATAACGGATCACTTACTAATCCGCCGTTGACTTAGTTCATCTAAAGTTTCAAAAACTTATCACATCACAATTCACAGAAATAGTTTTACAAATACCAAAGTGATAGATATAATATTTCCCAAATTTTTACCGGAAGATGCTTTCCCTTTTTTCAAAGTTCCACTTTGTAAAAACTTGAAATGCATTGAAAGAACAAGATTAATTCTCATCGATCTTATTAGGAAATCTTGGAAGAACGAATTGTTCAAAAACCTCTAATTCAAAAAAGTGTAACAGTAAGCGTATACAGTAAAAGTTTGCGTAATAACTTCGCATCTGTGCTTGTTATGATTACAATGACCATCATGGAAAAACTAGTTAATAAACAGAATGACTGTGTTTGATCCATTGCAATCAGTGTAATAGTCTCCAAAAACCATCTGGAGAAGGGGAGATGGCTTTCACTTCGAAAAAACATAACACCGGAAATAAATTTATTACGGAGAAGAGAAGCGGAGTATGGAGGCAAGGAAAAATTACAAAAATGGTTTTGAGTGGGAGAAAGTAAGGATCAAAATGAAATAAACGATGGTTGATGCGGCAGTAAGTGAGTAATGGGTATCAGTGATTACAGTCATCATCGTATACAAGTCAATGGGATCCGAAAATAAATGAGTATGTATTATATTTGCAACTTCCAAAAGATTACTTCGGGACCTTTTCTTTTTACTTTCCCGGAAGCAGTGAATATAAAGAGTAATTGTTTTTACAAAACTTTTATTTCTTTCGGAAACCTATAAAACAAACTTAATTTAAAACTGTAATTACTTAAGCAGCAAGAGATCCGACTCTTATATATAAACATGCGATTTTATCATGATTAGAAAGCTCTGATGAGTTGAACTGGAAAAAAAACGTAGATGATGACGGTAGTTCATTTCAATTGAACTTTTTTTATGGCATTACCCATGCTGTTCCTTAAAAATTCATGTTAAACTTGAACGCTTTTTTGTCTACAAATGGACGGATCAAAGAAAACCAAACGCTTTTTAAACAATATATTGCAATGAGAGTTAAAATTCGAAAAGAAATTTGAAGAACGAAGACAGTTAATTGTTCCGTCAATGTTTTCACAAACTCAGTCAAGCCGATTTAATCCGATGACTTGTTTTCTCAGTCTCTCCAATCCATTTTCAACTAAAATGCTTGGGTCTACTGCCAATTGGAACTACTGTATTTCCTTTTTCATAAACATTATTGATGGAAATTTAAATTCCTGAAGAACCACTTCTTTGCAGATATGTATTTAATTGGCTTATTTTGAAGGTACAGATGAAGCTCTATTTTTATGACTTTTGATTCGTAATGAAATCCTTTCGTATGTTCATTTACTCACCCGTTCGTTCTTCAAAACTCGTGAGAGTGAAAGTCACACCGAGATGAATATAAAGCCATCCAAATTAGAATGTTGCATCCGTTGAATGATGTAAAAACATGTATCGCGACCGGCCACGAGAGTTACTCTGCTAATTGGCCTGTTTCTGGTAGATTCCTTCGAGGGGTTTGGTGGTTTCGAGAATAGCCATGGGAATCAGAAATGTTATCCGTCTGCTTTTCTGACAAAATAAGCTTTTTATGGACGAAGTAAAGAGAGTCGTTATGGGTTGCAATATTTATGTTGATGTTGCACAGAACAAGGGTATTAAAGGTTAGAGGCGGAAGTTCTAAACTCTTTCCTTTAATTCACAGAAATCTCAAACGAAGCGATGGAAGTGAATGTGCACGATATTGCATAAATTTGAGATGTTGGCACTAGATGAGCAAGGTCTTAATAATGAAAAAAAAAACCTTTAGGATCGATGACCGTTTATTTTTTTTATTTTTTAAATAATATAGATATTATTGCGAAAAGAGTATGGAAAAGCACGAGCGACAAGAAGGACTTCTTTGAGAGCAGTTGATTTTTAGAGTCCGAACTGCTCAAGAAAAATATTGTTTTTGCTTTGCGCTTATTAAGCACAATCTCAAAACCTGTTCATACGATATATATACGTACTGTAGAAAAATTTCTAAGTCGATTCTGCTTTGCCACATTTTTTTTGGCGTTTTTAATCATCAGGGGTTGTTTGAACCTTTTCAAATGAAGCCATCTAATGACTCCGATTTCTCCCAAACTACAGGGTGTTTCAAGAAATTTGGAACAAATGATTTGCTTATATCTTTGTGTTCTTTGCAGCTATCAACGAATTTCTTTTTGCTTCTAAAAATTGACAGCGTGCGTTTTTAGAATCTCATAAGAATTTTTTTTCGTCGGCGGAGGGCCCATTTCTCGGCGGAGAAAATTAGGGCCTTTTTTAAAAATCACAGCGTATTACGTGGCGGAAACGCCGTTGCAACGGCTGAAATCAAGTTTACGTAATACCTCCATCGATTTTACGGTATGCTTTTTTTGGGTTTTCGATTTTACGCACTTCCGCGGATGCGCAGCGGAGACCTCAGATTTCGGCGGACGTTGTTTTGGGCCTTTGGTTTTTGCAATTCACGTTGGAAAAGGAGGTTTGGGTGATTTTTTGTTGTCATCCGATGCACAGATGGCAAAAATTTCGTGCTTTTTATCCCCGGCGGAGGAGTCGGCGGAGGCTTTATCAAAGGGTAAAAACAAAACTCCGCCGATTTGTCCGCCGGACCAAAAAAATCAAAAATCTTTGAAAGACAATGCTGCTCTGATGGATTCTTGTAGCCGAGATTTTTCCCGGACTCGTAAGACAGCTTTGACCCTTTGATAAAGCCTCCGCCGAATCCTCCGCCGGGGAAAAAAAGCACGAAATTTTTGCCATCTGTGCATCGGATGACAACAAAAAATCACCCCAACCTCTTTTCCAACATGAATTGCAGCAGCCGAAGGCCCAAAACAACGTCCGCCGAAATCTGAAGTCTCCGCCGCGCCTCCGCGGTGCGCGTAAAATCGAAAACAAAAAAATGCATACCGTAAAATCGACGGAGGTGTAACGTAAACTTGATTTCAACCGTTGCAACGGCGTTTCCGCCACGTAATACGCTGTGATTTTTAAAAAAGGCCCTAATTTTCTTCGCCGAGAAATGGGCCCTCCGCCGACGAAAAAAAATTTTTTTTTGAGATTCTAAAAACGCACGCTGTCAATTTTTAGAAGCAAAAAGAAATTCGTTGATAGCTGCAAAGAACACAAAGATATAAGCAAATCATTTGTTCCAAATTTCTTGAAACACCCTGTATAACAGCCCCCAGGTTGGACAGAATAACTTCCGTATCACGGTGAACTCTCGCTCTTGAAATATCACGGCATCTTAGCTTTTCGTCACTTCATACAAGCATTTACTCGTAATTTTAAACTTTTATGTTGTTATACCGGCTGCATTTGCATAGCAAAATGTGTGAGACATTAAGGTTAACACCACTTTAATTACTGAAGTCCAGCATTTTAATTAAACGACGTCAGTTATGATTGCCTAAGGGTTGTTTCCCTTGGGTATTTTTTCGACGACCACACACGATAAGTTTTGTAATACAATACATTTTCAGGTTTGATGGGAATGGATGGGCGGTTTACCTTGATCAATGAAGAAAGGTGGCCCTGTTGTCCTGCAATTTGTTACTAGAGCTTTATCAAAATTTTGCCGGCACACTTAAAAATTGATTTTCAGATTCTCAACGATTCCATGTGCAAATATTTGGTTTTTTCGAACCCTCTGGCCAATTATATGTATCATAATCAAAGACCTCTAAAGAGTATAAAACCCGGCCCAAGGTTGCATTTAGTTACCTGGATTAACAACTATTTTGCGTTTGGCAACGCCTACGGTGTTGTGTAAAATGCCCTGAGGGATTAATTTATGGGAACTACACATTGTTTTCCTGTAGCAGTTTTTTCTTCATCTTCTTGTTTAAGTTTAGTCTGTATTAAGTGCGATTTCTGCTGTGATTAAGCTTATCGTTAGGACGAAAAATTGGTACAAAAGTCGGCAATGTTAAATTCGCGCCCCTATTTTTCGGGTCGACGACAGTTCGGATCAACACAAAATCGATCGATATGGGGTGTAGGGCAGGTGGATAAGCTATCTTAGGACCCGATCTACTAACTAAGCCTTCCTTGCCTCCCTCATGCAGCGACGAACCGACACGATCCATAGTATCGTTCACCCAAACTTTCGCTGACCCGAAAAGTCGTAGCGCTGTTAGATTTAAAATGGGTTCTTCGCGGCCACTGAGTTTATACATAAAACACGCGTTTCTTCGTCTTCTTTGACATCTGGAATTTTAGTCGTCCACTCATAAAGACGAGTGGATGTCCTCATTGTACCGTGTTTTATATTATAACTCTATAAGGGCAATAGTGACCTATGTAAAAACACAAGTAGATACATAAGTTTGTATTCCACTCACACTTCTTCTTTTCTCTAAAAAGATTCAAATATAATTTAGATTGCACACGTGCATTACGCGAGATTTTAGCTTTGCCTCTGAAATTTAACAAACTTATTCAGATCTTTATTTTTCGTGGATCCAGCTTTGAATGATCCACTCAAATCGTACATAAATACTAGACAATCCTGAATCGTAACAAATTCAGATTGTGTTCATTTTGCCGAATTGCTAAATTTCATTTTTTACTGAAAGTCTAATCAACTTTCAGTGTCTGCAATAACGTTAGGAATCTAAGTGTAATTTTACCATGGGCAATAATCGTGATAGAGCCTTTGTTATCTGTACCATAAGGGCAGAGATATTCAAAAAAAAAACCCCTATGAGGCCCAGTTTTTGTCCGTGCCACAGCCGGTAGTCTATGTGACATTACGAAATTTAATTATCTGACAGAGAAAAAAATTCTGCCTACATCTGCATTTTTGTAGAATGCCCTTTCCAATAAAAAAATAGGAGTTAAATACTTTGAAATGTTTTTTCGGAGCTTACATTGCGTGGTTCATTACAATATTTATATATTCTGAAAGCGGAGCCTTTACTCTATACCTAGGCTAATTTTCATGTTTCTAGCTTCAATGGCTAGTGAGTAATGAATTATGTTAGCTTGCAGTAAAAATAAAAAAATTGGAGAGATCGGTTGTGTCCCAAAACTACAGAATGCCGGACCAATTTGACATCCCAATCTTCTCATACATTTAGTTTAAAATCTGTATGAAAACCGAATTTTCGCTCATTTTGGGGTAATTTTCAATCAGAAGGAAGGTTGGTTGACGCAGTCCGCGAGGTCTGAAAATCAAAGTTTCTAAAGATTCTGAACTCTTTTTGAAATTTGAATAAGCGAAATTTGGAATTATGGGAATTCCGAATTGTCAGAGCTCTGAGAGAACGGCCACACAACTTCACCACGAAATAAAAATGACGCAGCAAAAATTCAATTTTCATGCAGGCTTCTTGCATGAAGTATAATATATGAGAAGATTGGGATGCCAAATTGGTCCCATCAGACAGAATTTTGTATCTTTTGTCTGTAGGCCAGAAATTTTTTGTTATATCCTGGCAGGGCTTCGAATACCTATGCCTCGTTTTCTCCGCTTTAACGCAATGATTCCGTATTTTCTCCCGGAACAATATTACACTTGGGTCCATTAATATACATAAACTCCGTAATTACGCGACTTTAGTATGGTTTTTGTTCTCATAATGTGTATAAAACAATCACATCATCCAGCATAGTTTTGCAGATTTCTACCATGGGGCTGGGACTTCCATGGTTTGTTTACGTAAATTGGACAGCATTTACATTGGGAATGGTGTCAAATGTGTTGTTGATTCTGGCAGTGAGGAAGAGAACAACAAGTACAGTAAGATGCTATGGTAACATGGTGCTGTCCAGCTCAATTATGGACATTTTTTACATCTGTGCAGTGGTCTTATGTCATCATGTAAGCGGTTTTTTATTAATGTGACATTATTTCTCATTAATCACAATTTAATTTTTAAAATACTCAGCGGTTAATTCCAAACATTTTATAGCAAATCCAAGTGCACGGTCATGTATTTATCATCATGTCATATGGTCTAGAATACTTTCTAATGCGCTGGTGGTGGCCTCAGAATCTTCTTTCTGGAATGGAATACTTTGTGGTTGTTTGGGCTGTTTTAATATTGCCCGCTCAATTCTACTACCGATATTATTTGCTCACAACTGTTGAGTAAGTCAATCGTTTTCATGTACAGATGTTATTATTACACCTTATAATGGTAAACATTAATTGAGAGTGTTTCAACTTTCTTACCACTCCCCTGTTACAGTGATGATCGACAAAAAGATTGGATGTTGTTCTATTTGGTGGGGATATCCTTTATCCTGACTTGTCCTATGTATTGTCTCACCATAGCGTCGCATTACAAAGCCTTTAAGCGAGGAAGAGCGGACTACGAGAAGCTGCTGGATCCTACTTTCTTCGATCCAACTGGACATACACATATCACCGCTGCAGTCGACTTTGTAAGTTGGTTCCTTTATCTTTCGTTTCTTGTTACTTTTCTGAACAAATTGTATCATAAAAAAAATTTTATAGCAAGATTGGGAAGCAATTGCCGGATTCTTTTGGTCTGGGATGGTAATGACGGGGGCCTATATGATGGCTCTCTATTTTGGCTACATGTCGATAAAGAAGATCGTTCCAGAGGGGGGAGTCACCACAAAAAAGGTTCAAAAGCTCCGTGTTCAATTCATGCGGAATTTGATCGCCCAGGTAACAACTATCTTGTTTCAATATTACGTATTAATACGTATGGCTTTAATTAACAGACCATAATAATATTTTCAGCTCATAGTCAACCACAATTAATTGATAACCTCAGTAACAATAATTGTTTCAGACAATAAACAGTTATCTCTTCGCCGTATTCCCCATGCTCATAATTGTGGCCAGCGTTTTTATTGGTGCCAATACAAAGAATTACGGTATTGGGATCATGTTAGTGAGTGCCTGGTGTCCTTTTATGAATGCCGCTCTCTCACTTCTCATTATTCGCCCATACCGGGAATATGTTTTTGGTCGATTTATAAAGTCGGCAGAGAATACATCAACGGAAAATAAAAGTGTCAGCCGAGTTCCGAGTACTGGGACAGGCCAAAAGGTTCTCGATTAGAATGTTTAAAGAACGGATCCACTCATAACTTGTAACCTGTACATTCCACATGTCTTCCGGATCTCAAATTGCTCTTTCCGAACATTTCTGTACCCTGTGTACCGTTCTAGTCGCTGTTCCTTTATTTACCTCATTTGATACAATAATCCGATTGTTCGTATCTCCAGACAGAACGAGTCACTACAACATTTTATTGATACTTTTTGCAATGTTATCATGTATATACTTTTCCCCGCGAATAAAGGGCCAAATAAAGTTGTTTTGTGACTCATTTTCGTACGAAATCTATTTGACCCAAAATAAATAACAATACTATATATCTACCACGTTCAAAGGCAAGCCCGAAATACGAAACGTCAAGTTTTTATTCCATATATAGTGCTTTCAAATCATAGTTTGGCTTCAAACGATGAACCCCTTACATTATTGTCTTCTGTTGTCATATTCAGTTCTGGTTTCCGCAAAGATTAATGCTACTATTTCCTTACAGACAGAAGATGACAAATGGATTTTTGAGAATCTACTGAAAAATCTGAATATTCCTAATCACAAGTAGGTCTGAGTTATCGTAAATTTCCGTCATAACATTTTTTGCTTCTTAGATCAAAGCCAACTAAAAAATCGCAGAAGAAACCGCAGGCCATAGCTGATATTCGCGTATATCGCGTCGACAGTGGCGATGAAGAGAGGGGTTATACCTTTTCTGATTTGGCGAATGAGAAGAAACGACAGGTTAATGACGACTTTAAGTACACTAAAAGACCGAAATTCGATGCGACCACAATTAATCCAAACCCTCCAATTCCAATTCCTTACAACTTTAGTACACAGGCACCTCCCCCCAGCCCCCAACCTCAGCCGTATCCCCAGCCTTACCCACAGCCCTATCCTCAACCACAACCGTATAATCCTGGAGGTTATGGATTCGGTATTCCCATTTTTGTTCCAATCTGCTCTTGGTTCCCGGTGTGCCCATTCTCTCAAACCCAAACTCCACCATCGTATGTGACCCCTATCACGTATCCCGTCCCTGTAACAACCACCCCTTGCTCAACGACAACAACATCAGCTGCAACCACAAACCCAGTCACAACAACTCCTTGTTCTACGACGACAGCGATTACTACAACAACGTGTTCCGTGGTCACTACAACAACCATATGTCCTTTGACTTCGTCCGCGAAGTATCCAACAAACCCCCCATATCCAATTCCGGTAACCTACCCTGTATCCACCAACCCTCCGTATGTTGTGCCAAATACCACTGCGCCTTATTTCGTTCCTACTGCCTCATCAACTATAACGTATGCGACATCGTCCCCCTCTCTACCAACGGCCCCGTATGTAATGCCTTCCACATACGCAACGTCTTCTGCACAACCATATGTAACATATCCAACGCAGCCTACAACAACAATATGCACAAAGATCACAACTACACCTTCTTCTTACGTAACTGCAGCGCCGTATGTTGTTCCTAACACGTCTGGTTCGTATGCAACTGCCAGCACCACTGCTGCTGGATATGCATTGCCGTCAACAACAACGGGTAAGCTTTCCAAATTGTTGTTACTAAGAACGCAAACATTTTATTTTTAGCAAAGAGTTCTGCTGAAAGTTCGGTAGCCACGTTGTTGTCGATACTCAATTGCCTGGCCGTTCTGTTTCTTGTCAAATCGCCATAATTGTTGATAATTATATTTGTATGATACGATGAATAAAGTAAGACATCAAATACCTTTGTGCTTTTTGTGACTAATGCTGTCCTTTCTTTCCCAGGGTCCTATCAGAAAGTAGATTCCCTCAGTTTTGGAAGTAAAAAGGAAAGAACCCCGAGGCGGTCATCTTCCTTGCCTCAGGTCAAGATTGTTTGGCAAAGAATCGAAAGAAATCATTTCAGTTTCCATAGCGATTTCTTTGCGGACTTTTTTGGTTATAAAATAATATTACGGAGGTGCATTGAAATTGTTGTGTGGGATTAGATTCACAAGGATCACACATAGTTTATGATTGCGCCGTCAATGGGCAGATGGATAGTAAACCTAACTCATAGGCCTTCTGTTGTATTTATCGCAGATCTTGTGTCGTATTTATGACCAACATTGGGCATGTCACGACATGATGACTAACTTCCATGTAAATTTCCATATTATTATATGCATATTCCTCCAAAATTTGCTTTTCCCATTCTGTATCGCATTTCAGACTCTTCAAACAATACTCTATTACGCGTCCAGTTCAAATGTTATCCGATCTTTGAGTTCGGGGCTTTAATCGCGACAAATCTCCTTTTCAATTGTCCAAACCAATTTCTTCTGTCAAGTTTAGCCTCGGGGCTTTAACCTTTCCATTCGGTCCCATACCTGAGCCGCTCTTTCTGTGCGTCTCTTCATTTTTCGTGTTCTTTTTCGTACCAAAATTTGCATGTCCATCACGCACAAAAAAAGCGCTCAACCCGACGCGAGCCCTGCGGCAATACGCTGAGGGAAACGCTTTTTTTGTCGCTCCGACGTCTTCAACGCGGCCGTCAAGCCTTGAACAAACAGTCCGAGGAATGCGGTCATTCTCTTTCGCCCTGAGGGCAAGGGAAAGAAAGGTGAATGTAAATGAATGCGAGAGTTTCTTCCGAAGAAGCCCCGACCCACCTGAGTCACCGGCAGCCTGGGGGTCAAAAAAGTGAAAATTGGCCCCATTTCCCTCCAAGGAAAACGGAATTCGTAATTTCAGCGTTTTTATTAGAGAAGATCGCCGAAAGGGCCTGATTGCTATTTTTTATATTATTATTCAGGCGTTGGGGGAAGACAGGGTTTTTGGGGGTTCTTGGGGCTTTATGGCCATTGTCGAGATAAATGCATGTTTCTTTTCATTACCGTAGTTACTTTCTGAATCCCGAGAACTTCACAATTACTTAAATATAAAGCATAGCAATTTAAATTTACAAACCAAGATCACGTTTTCCTGCGGCATATTTGAATAAACAACCCTTTATTACATTTTTCCCACAAAATTCTTTGCTTTTCTCAAACCAACTAGTGCTTATCACCAAAGTCTCGATTATCACCCATTTTTCAAAACATTTCTCCGGTTTTCTTCGTTTCGAAGCGATTGATTCATAAAAATGGGGATTCTGGGTAAAGCCGATTATTCATAAGCAGAGGTTTCTTTTTAAAATTTAGAAACCATTCATTGCCCAGTAGCATAAAATGTTTTAATTTGTTTTAATGACCTCAATGACCCTTCTGTTTAAACCGTTTGAAGCTTGAATTTAGAGCATGTTTCGGCTTCGGATTACGGCTTTGAAACGGGTTTTGCGCAAAGCCTTTTCCCTCTGACCTCCGATTACTTTTCATTGGGGTCAGATTGAAGTAACGGAGGTTTTGAGGATCTTCAGAGCGTGCTTGTTTACTCTGGCCATGAAATTCGATTGAGAAAGACTTTGCTTTTCCGATGGATTGTTGATTTGGGAAATCTTTGGGTTTACATAAAGCGGCAGAATTTCCGGTACTATGACGTAATATTGTATATCCTCTCCGTTTACGCTTACTTTTTCAAGTTTCAACGTTAGTCGTTTACTTCTTACTTTCCGGAATGTCATCTTCTGGTATTTAAATTTGCCCAAACACGTGAAGGGAAAGAAAAAACCATTACAAGGCAAGCGGGCTTGCATCGCAATCAAAAACACCGAGACTCAGCAAACAAAGTTTCGATCCTGGTTTCCTCGCTCGCCGTCTTTGAGCCTGAGGGCAGTAAAAGGAAAGGAAGTGTGATCCCCTTCGGTCCGTATAATACGTGATGGTCTTGGGAATGGGGTTACCGCAACATCAAATGGGTCACCCTTTTCCGTACCGTCTCCAGTTTTAAATTTAATTCTCCATTACAACATTCGACGATTACAGAATTTTCTATCGATTTTTTCAAAAAAAAAAAATATTTTGATTTACAGGCAATTTGCAACGCTGGGTAAACCGACGTCATCAGTTCGTCCCCATGTCATATTCCCACAACCGCTATGATTACCAGATCGCGGTGATATTCGCCATTCTCATCGCCGCCTTGTTTCTTCTTGGAGCTGTCGTTCTTGGATTGTATTATGCATTTGTTGCCAGTGTAAATTATTTTAAGCAAACAAGAATGATTTAGAATATATTCCCAAAGAACACTTGATCATTCTCCTTTTTCTTTTCAGGGTAAAAAACCAAAAGGAGGCGGTCGATTAACCAGGACTCCGAGTTCAGTCCCAATAAAAAGCCAATGGCAGCAGCCCCAACAAGTTTATCAACCACAATATCAGCCACAGCAATATCAGAATGACAACTTTGGACAGCCACAAAACGAATACCCTCCTCAACAATATGGATATGATCCAAGGCAACAACAAGAGTAAGAAAATAGAAAATGTTGGAAATACAATGTCATACTTGTTATCGTCATTCATGAAGTGTTTTAGCTATGAATACGATCCAAGAGTCCAAGGAGACACAAGCGCCAATTACTCCCAGCCTCCAACTGGTCAGTCTTACCCGTCAGAGACCTTGCACACGGTCAAGGTCCGAGAATTACAGCCAGAATACATTTATCAACAGGTAATGCCTACTACGACATAAAAAATCCCATTGCCTACTAAAAACTTTGTAAATTTCTATTTATTCAGGGACCAGTAACCTGGACCACAACCCAAACAGTAGTCGACCCCAACAATTACAATCAAGCAGTCCAGCAAGCTCAAGGAAATCTGGGTCCCTCTTATCACATGTCGTCGGTTTAGGACGACTTTCTGTACTAGAAAAATTCCCTCAGGATAAATATGGACGGACGCATGTGTACTCATCCACACATATCTCTATGTAAAATATGTTATCTTTTTTTCCTCACACTGCCATTTACCTTCTCTACTATAAAATATGATTTACTTATATAGACATTGTTATTTTTATCAAAATAAATAAAAAGCACTTGGATCTGGAGTAAACTTGTCTCTACACACAAAGTAGAAGAAGTTCATATTTCAACCGCAATTTTTAATTAACGATCGTAAGAGACTTATTAACACCGTGGAAAATTTTCGCCTATTGGGGGCTTTTTACAGTGCGGAAAAAGTAAGTCGATATGCCCGAAACTGGTGATTGTGCGTCATTGGCAAAAAGATCTTGAATTTATTCGGAACTTTGCAGAAATTAGGAGGCAATTCGGAAATTTATAAACAACACATACAAAATTTTTTAGTTTTCGAATCAGCTCCCTGTATTGCCAAGAAATCGTGGCATGCTGTTTCAAGCACAAAATATTGTTTTTTTTTTTGGGAAATATTTTTTATTTTCGACTAGTCGACTACGGAAGTTTCCGAATTCCGAAGTAACTTGATTTTCTATTACATGAAATAATTTTACTAGTGTAATATTACTTTAGATGTACGATGTCTGAACCGGGAGAGGAACGGTACAGTCTGAGGAAAAGAGCCAAAGTTATTTACGTCGATCAGTTTCCTACGACTTCGGAAGTTGACGTAGCCGTTCAAGTAGTTCAATCTCTGAACAAAGTAGGCCGAGGAGATCTAGATTATCAATCCGAAAGTGATGAAGATAGAAGGAGAACTCGGAGATCAGGGGTAAAGCGCGATGTAAGTGTTTCTTACTTTGTATATCTTCAAAGTCAGATCTCAGTCTGATTTTTTCTGTTTTAGAAGGTCGCTGTTAGATCGAATGGAGGTAAACGGACCCCGCAGCAACTTCGGGGGCAGGAGATGAGGTTTAATAAAAGATTTTTGTCGAATTCACCAGTCAAAAAGAGAGTTCATAAAGGTCAATCTGATTACGATGTGGATGTGGACTTTCTAGATTCAGCAGAAGAGGATCGTGTTAGTTTAATTCTTTTAGGCCACACATTTTTTTATCTGATTACTTTAGGACGATAATGAGTACGTGGAAGTTATTGTGGACAACCGAGAGGTTTACGAAAACAGTTTTGATGCTCCTTACAACAATTCTTACGTGGTGGAATGCGTGAGGAAAGAGCTGAGAGGAATATTTGAGTATGAAGTGCAAGGAGCTGAATACGAAGACCCAAAAGATTTGAAGAAAGTAGGTCGTTTTTATACTTGTTGTTTGATTTTTAGATGTATGTCTCTTTCTACGTCTTGAAAGATTTCAAATCGGCAATTTTACGGCGTTATCAAGACAACGGATGTCCAGGGAAAGCCCTAATTGGATTAGACAAAGGAGATGATAAAGATGGAAGTGTTCTCTTAACGTTGGCATTTGTAAATGAAGGTGAAAAGATCAGCGAAGGGAAGTTCCTTGTGTTGGCTGGATGGCGGCATAAGGATGACTACGAAGTTCTGTTTCACATTCTCAATCCAATTTGGCGGATTATCCAGAAGTTCGGCTTAAATCTGACCATTTTCTGGAAGTTTGCATACATCTCCAAGAATTATGGTTTACGATCGGGATTTCAATGCGTTTTTTGCAAATACCATGAGTTGCAAAGTAATAAAAACGAAAAGGGAGCAAAGAAATTGTTGGAAAATAGCAATGTGATATTAAATCTTCCCTTGGATAAGGTGAGTTGTGACATTCTTGATGAATTGCCATGTTTAGGTGTATGTCCGAATATTCGAGCAGAAAATAGAGGTGGTTAACAAGTTAATTCGACTGATGGAGAAGTTCTTATTGGAGGATGAGAACACGGAGAAGTTTTATAAGATTCTTAACAAGAAGAAACTTTACATGGCCAGGTCGAAGCTGAAGTACAAGTTCAGAAAACACCATTCGTTGCAAGCTGCAGAAGTCTTGGATTTGGCGGAAAGATTAGAGAGCGGTAAGTGCTTCCCATCATTTATTTTTAGGGTTTGTCTCATCCTACGTCCTGAAAGATTTCAAATCGGCAATTTTATGGCGTTAAAGATGAAGCTGCGAGGTTTCTTGCTCGATCATTGCGAGTGCATTTCTCTTTTTAGATAGTATACTGTTCTTTATTGGTCTGTTTCAGAAGTCCGATCGGATATTCCGGAAGTCGGCTCGATCGCTCAGATGTTGGTGCTGTTCAAATCCTTAATGAATCCATCCAAATTTTCTGTCGGAGCAACGGAGAACATCCACAAAAACCTGCACACTTCCTCAAACCCTTGCAAGTCCTGCGAAAAGATGGTTGATTACATTGATGAATTTGGTCGGAACGAGATGGATGGATACATTCATATGCTGTGTCATCATGCCAATGAACTCCGACGGATCGATTCAACACTATCAGTGAACTACGAGATAGTCATGGAGAAGATTCAGAAAGATTTTTGTGCCGCAAAGACCAAGCAATGTTGTCGTGACGAGACCAAGAAGGATTCGATGGCTGCGAGATATCTCGCTGTTCAAACATTCCTTCCCGATCAGACAAAGCATTTTGAAGAGATCCATGGGCAGATTCAAGAGAATGGGGGAAGGTCAATCCCCTCGAAAGACCAAGGGAGGCATGTAGAAATAGTTGAGGATGAAGATGTCGAAGTGGATGATGTGTAATTTCATAAAGTTTTTCATAATTTTGCTCTTGCCATTCCTACACTCTTATCCAGAAAATTTGATGTTGTTATCTGTGAGTATTTGTTGTTTTTACTTGTTATCCGATCCAATAAAAATAGAATTTACTATAAACATAATAGATTTCTAAGGGAACTGGGAGATTGAAAAAGTAAGAAGAAAATTGTAGACTGAAGATATTTAGGGGAGGTACTCGTATTCATCCATGTTGTCTGTCCTCTGGAGGAAATGCTTTTCAATGAGGCCTTCGATGCATTGTTTGAGAAATGGTCGGTCGGGAACAAAGCGATCGGCAATGGAGGTGCATACCTACAACAGGATTAAGATCATTCATAGATTATTATTACCCACCGTTTCTATCAAGTCTTGATGTTTCATGACCTTCACAGCCTTCATTGCTCTTACAATTGCACATTCCACAGCCACCTTTCGATCTTGAAGCGTTTCCCTGGCCGATGGAATCGGGTTGCTTTCATTGGCTTTAGACACAATTGTGGGTGGCTGGAGGTGAACTCGGCTTCTCAAAGCTTCAAACTTCAAATTCACCTGAACCGGAGTCTCTTCGGTGTAGCATCCCTGCTGAAAACATTGCATTGCAATTAAGAACATTTAATTAAAGTTTCGTGAATGATCCCTTTCCACAAATCAAATACTCCCTACCTTTTGGTCCACAATAAGTATCTTAAAGTCGATCAGAGATTTCAATGAAGAACAGACATATTCAAAGCTCATTTTTGTGCTCTCAACCAACTGACTGATTGTTCTGACATCATATTTGTCGAATACCAACAATAACATCGCTTGAGGGACAGTCATTGTGACAATGCACCGTTTTGATCCGATTTTGAAAAGAAGGTCTCCTGAAAATACGAAATTAACAACAAAAGTAAAATAATGCAATCAACCGATCAAAACACACCTGTGCTGACATGATACGCAAACTTAAGGATCCTTCCCGTGTGTTTATTGTCGTAATAGCGCCTAATTTCTTCTGAATAAGTTTGTAGTTGAGAGGGGATTCGAAGATCTTTCAAAGCCGGATCCTCGGATGAGCTGATCACGGGCCAAGCACAGGTCTGGATGATATTAAAAGTGCTCTCCTTGAAAGGCGGGGAAGCTATTAAATGGTACTGGGCGTTAAGAATACGACTCTTGATACAATCATCATGCATTCGGCTCAATTTGGCCGTATACTCATTGCCACAGGCTTCTTGAAGTTTAAAGATCATTTGTTCCTCCAACTCAAGAGAAATGGATATCTTGTTGAGGAGACGTATGGCCAGCATTCGTTGGAAGATCTGTAAATATTAGAAAACAATCATAACACCGACAGTCAAGCATTAAATTTATATCTGATTAAGTTTTCACCTCAAAAATTAGCCAAACGTGCTGGCGATTCAAGAAATTCACCCAAACTGGGTCCATTCTGTTCAATTTGTTGATATCCAGAGGCTGAGCAATAATTGCATCAATAATCTCAGTTAACTCTTGCAATGATGGCATTGCTAGCGTCAATGCTCTCAACTCCAAAAGTGAAGCAAACCATCCCACAACAAAACTGGGCAGTTTGACATTCTCAACAGTTTTTAAGTCACCTAGAGTCAAAGATTTGGGGAATTCTTTAATATTTATGTCATCCATATGACTAATAACACCCTGCCTTGACAACAAATTCCAAATCAGACAGAAGTAAGTAATCTTGTGCAACAGTCCAATTTCTTTTCGCTTTAATTAGTTGGCCTGCCAACCAACGCAAACACGCAAAGATGAAGTCTTTTCGCACTTTCGAACAGAGTAATATTACACTCTCATCCCATTCACAATGGCATGTAATACGCTAACTCCGACAAGACCGTGAAACTACCCATAAGGAACGTTTTAGGGGTCTAAACCCCTAAAACGTAAACGACGTTTTTTTATCCTATAGGGTACCCTAATGTAATACTAAGCCACTTTACGAGTACCGAGAGTAAACCGTACCTTGTGAAAGGTGTCCTTGTCCTTGATGTATCTGAAGATAGTCACCGCTTCATCCAGCTTGTCATAGATGTCGTCGCCGACTTCTTTCTTCTTTTGGGACTTCTTCAACAACAGATCCATATGTCTGGCCAACATTCTTGCCGCGTAGAACTTTTCACCTTCCCTTTCTTTGTTGAGGACACTCTCGATTGCCTAAAAACTGTATAAACATCGAGCGAAACAACAACTTACTCTTCTCAAAGCTGCTTGAATATATGGTGCATCGCTAAAGACTTCCGAGTTGAACTTGGTGTAGAACGAATGCTTGGCAGAGGCGGCTTCAGTAAAAACAGAAGGGGTCAAAAACAACCCAGAGAGATGATTCTCAAGGCTGGTTGCGATCTGCTTCTCATATTCCGTCACAAGAATTTGAGCGGCATCTGGGAAATAATCCAGAAGACTGTAGACCAAACGAAGTTCTGAAAAAAAAACCATCAAATTGATGTACAATACGATATTCGTAAATTATGAGGGTGAGACTTGCCAGCTTTCTTCTCCATCCTCACATATTCTGGGACAACTTCATCAAATCTCGGCAGCTGTTCCAAAATGAATATTTTCCTCAACAAGACCAGCAACTTTTTGACGGTCGGGGTAAACAAAAGATCCGCAGCAAGCTTCTCTTCATTCTCCAAGATTTTAATTACCTTTGACATGTAATCAAACATATTTAAATTGGCCAAACTTTCCGACAGCATTCCCCGGAAGTAGGTTCGATTATCAATCAAGAAATTATCTTCAAAGATCTCATTGTAAAACTTGAGTTGAGCAGGAATTGGGTAGTTATGTTTGACGCAGAGAGCGGGATCGAGGACGCCAAGAACAGAATCCCTTTCATCGTCGGAGGAGAAGCATACCTGAAATTTGGGACAATAAAAGAACATTAAGTCAATTCTAAAAATAAAGAAATTCAACTCACACTGATGAATGATAGGAGGATCTTTCCAACGGCGGGATTAGGCTTTTCGGAATAAGAACCATCTCTGATCTGCACAATCACGCTCCAAATCACTCCGTAAAGTTTTCTTTTTAGAGGTAAAATCAATTCCTTTCTCCATAATCTTCTTGCGGCCTAAAATAAAACAATTTATAGCTAAAAACAGACTCACATCACAAACAGCAAGTCGATTTCCATCCAAAAGGTTCTCAAGTTCCGGGAACCTCCGAGTAAAGACTCTAGCATTCATCTCTTTGACAATCATCCTATTCAAATACCGGCAGAGACCATTGACATGGTTTATACCAGAGTCAAACTTATTCCAACTACTTGAATAAGATTCGAGGAGTTCAATTCCTTGAAGGGGATAGAGATCCTAAAGATTGGAAAAAATAAAAAGAGAGATTACCCTTGCAATTGATCTAACTCGTTCAGCTAAACATTCGATCAGTTTGGCGTATAAGTCAACGGTGTATTGGCCAGAACAGAGCCCGTAGATATCACTATAAGAGTATAATTTACATATTAAAGACTCAGAACAAAAAAATTCAAAAAAAAATTAAACTTACAAGAAAGAGTTACTCCAGACAGCTTGATCGACAAGTTGATCATTCATAACATCCATAACCACACCCTCTAGCCTTGCCCAGTACTCATCGAAGAGGACCACCTGAGGATTGGCCATTGTGAAATACTTCTTGGAAGAATTTTCAGTCTCCTCGACCTCCATGTTGTCAGTGTCCGGCACTACTTGGCTCTCATTTAATTCCCTGTCAATTTCCATAAACTAAAAAAGAAAATTACTGAAAATTAATCTAAAAAAGCGAGCAAAAAGTGCGCAGCAGCCTAGTAGATCAATATCCCGACCAAATGAAAGATAAAAAAGTTTAATTCGACAACTTAGCCTACAAGTTATTCATAAACAAAAATCACCTTGTTGATTAAAGGAAAACAACAAAGCATAGTAGAGAAATCATTCCAAACCACTGATAACGATCACTAATTTCGGACGAGAACTCAAAATTGAAAGCCTTTTTTGCGAAGAAAATCTGCGATCCGAGCAGACCCAGGCGGAAGATCCGAAAACAAGTTTCTCGTTATGAGCTAAAGCCCATAAAATTGAGATTGTTTTGGAGTCTGGCGATTTAATTTGGGAATCATGCTTAGCGATGGCAGAATCAATCAGACAACGGCGCTTACACGGCAGTACGTTTACATTAAAGAAATTTTCGATTCCAGAAAAAAATAAAGTAATGTTAGAACTAATGAAATCAGATAGAAAAAACTTAAAAAATCAGATAACGCTTTCGCAATTTTGCAACAAACAGAATTTCTGTGCCAATCAGCTGATATAAAAAATCTTGACAACGAGATCGTCTCTTTTCTTTCTTGTCGATAGTTACATTCCGTCATTTGGCATATCGTTTTTCATAGATTTTCCACCGAAATTCGGGATGTCGACGTGGGAAGTCGTCGTCAATGGATATCGACATTGCGCTACCTGAAATTAAACTAGACATTTTTTCGAATCTATTATCTTTTTTTATAATATACAGTAAAAAAATTCATTTTGAAACGGGGATAACCGTGGAGTTCAACCTGCGGGGCTTTCTTTTCGACATTTGTATAACCTGCTTACTCTGATTGTAATTACTATGTTGCTTCAGCGCCCTATCCGAGCAGGATATTACCGACCTAAACCTGGATTCGGTCGTTTCCAAGGACCGATCGTTGCGACTGCCGGAGAGATTTGGTGGGATGGAAGTTCAGTGGTCAGGTAAGGCTGGGTTCACTGTATGATCTTTTGCTGGAATGTTTGACATTTTTTGTTTTAGAATTACGCCAAAACGCGAGTTCTTTAGAAAGGGAGATCGATGAACTTCTTGGTTTGTTAAATGGTGTATTGCCAAAAGATGGTAAGTCATTCTTGTCGAATATTGTTTATTTTTAGGTCGTTTACGCAACGATGCGAGCTATTTGGCTGCTCAGAGAAGCCAATTTGAGAAAGTTTCGGCTGATTTAGACTCTCGAACATCCAGGTTACAAGATATCAATGAAAGAGTAGGTATACCTTTTCGGTTATCTATCTTATTTTAGATGAATGCTTATCTTAGTGAATATGAGAGAAACGGGCATTACGATCAATCGATGAGGTCGTTGTACTTTAGACATCGGGAAATGTTTCGGTCCTATTGCCAAGAACTCAGCCGAAGTCAGAGCAACATCTCCAATGAGCTCAAACGGTACCTAAAGATTGATTTTAAAAATTGTTTCTAGGGCTGAACTTCTTTGTGGATCTACAGCAACTCAATCTGAAGGCTCAGCTTTAAGCAATCGAGCGAAGACTTCGGATTATTTACTAAGAGAAAACGATCGGATCAATAGTTGTGATAGACTGCTGGATGATCAGATTAGTATTGCCATTGGGATTAAGGACAGCGTACAAAATCAGAAACTCAATATGAATGATATCAGTAGGAAATTGCATCTTCTCGGGAGTGGGTTTTGCATATTTTAATTTTCATGCTTAAAATTACAAAATAAAATGTTATCTGATTTTAGAGAAATACCCCGCTCTAGGATCACTGATGACCAAAATACGAGCCAAAAAGCGGAAAGACACAATAATCTTGGCCGGTGTGATAACAACTTGTCTGATATTTATCTTCTTTTACCTGAACCATTAAGCCACGGAGAGTTTTATTAGAAGCCGGGTAATTGGGAGATGTAAATTGTACTACTTTGTGTAAAATACTATTATTTATTCCGAGTTTGTATATTTTCTACGCCTTTTCTTACTCTAGTGTCCTTAAACATATCGAGTATATAGCCTGGTATATTACCAAGACTTTTTTATATATCAAACATAGAAAGTTTTAATAAATTTATGGCCTTTCGGAGGTGTTTTTGGAAATAAATGTCTTGATTTTCATAATGGCAGTCTACTGGTCTCGTCAGAATTATCTTATCAATTCGAGTTGAGGGGCGTAGACAGAGGTAGAGGGTTGGAGAGGAGAATCACGTGATTGTGAAAGCAGTGTTAGATCCTTCTGATGATGCGGCACTTTTTTGGCCTTAATTGGCTATACCTTCTTTATTTATCTGCCTATTTTAAAGACTCGTTTTCCACTGAATCTTCAGAATCTCCCGTTTATTTGATAAAAAATATGTCATAGGAATCCAGAACTTCCCGCAACCTTTCATTTGGGGGCAAATCGGATATCGGCCCAATACTTGTAGCTGATATTGCAAACCTGTTTGCCTAACCAGCCAATAAGTTGGCATGACAAGCGGAAATTTTTTTCCATTTGGCTAGCCAAAAAGTTGGTTTGGGTAGCCAAAGTGTCATTATGCCCCGAAAATAGTTAGCCAGGAGGTTGGAATTGGTGTCAAAATGTAGGAGGGAGCCTATAACGGACTAGCCATGCAAAAAATTTTTTTTGGCGGTCATAACCGCGACGCCGAGCAAACAAAACGGGAGATTCTGAGCAGGGGAAAAAAGAACTGAAAAATAAAGAAGTTATTCTAATCAGGCCTAAAAATGGCGTATCCTGTAGAATTTAGAACATGTTGTTGTAGTGAGATGAATTTTTTTTTGATACAATGGAAAATTTCAACTGTTAAGGTCACGTTGCTAACGATCTTTTCTCGTTAAAGTTGCCTTCGGGTTTTCTAGTTTGTCATTAATAAGATCACTTTTTTTGGTCTCTTGTATCCAGATTAAGTGTTTTCGTCATAATTGGCGGTCTCATGTCGTCATTCTGATAAGGTTTGAGATCACCCAACTTCTTATGAGTAACTTCTTCGTTCGCCAAAACGTTTTGTTTATTTTTTGTCGCGCTAGCTGATAAAAATCGAAGAAGAAAGCAAGAATTTTCTCATTTCGACCAACAATTCTCAGGTAATTGTCGTTACAAAAGAGAGCAGCCCGTTTGGATTCGATTTGGCAATGGTCCATGGAGAAGGTGGGGCCAAGAAGGAATCAAGTTACTTCAAAGATGGGGCCATCGATCTTCTGGCTGGAACTGCGGGTGAGATTTTATGGGATTTCCTTTGCTAGCTGGTGATTTAGATTATAATGAAATTAATTATAATATTCTTAGGTGGGATTGCCAATGTCTACTTCGGACAGCCTTTGGATACAGTGAAAGTGAAGATGCAGTCATATCCTGAGCTCTACAAAAGTTGGATGACATGCTTTGCGCAAACCTTTCGAGCAGAGGGAATTCGAGGCCTTTATGCGGGTGAGTACCGTATGATTTATATTTAGTTTGATGACTATTTGTAGGCACAATCCCTGCTCTTGCGGCCAACATTGCTGAAAATGCAGTTTTATTCACTGCCTATGGGTTTTGCCAGAAGTCGATTGCATTTATGGCGGGAAGAAAGTCGACCGATGAGATGACTTCGGTGGAGAAAGCGGCCTCAGGATCTTTTGCTGCTGTCTTTGCGGCTTTAGTATTGTGCCCAACGGAATTGGTGAAGTGCCGGCTCCAAGCTCATCGAGAAGTCCATCCAGATAGTTCAGCGTAAGACTTTGAATATTAAACTTGATTTTTATTGTTGTTTAACCTCTATCTTCATATTAATGTGGTCTGTTTTTTGTAGTACCCCTCTTTCTGTATGCCGAGAGATGTACAAAGCCCAAGGGGTAAGGGCGTTTGCCACGGGAATGACTCCAACCCTGGCCAGGGAAGTTCCCGGTTACTTCTTTTTCTTCGGCGCTTATGAAACGACCAGAAAATATATGTCAGAAAATGGAAAGAAGGAGATTGGAGTTGGTGGAACAGCTGTAAGTGGAGCCATTGGAGGAATGGCTCTGTGGACAGCCATCTTCCCGGCTGATGTGGTAAAATCAAAGATGCAGGTGACGGGAAAAGGAAACTTCGTATCAACTTTTATGGATGTGCTTAGAACACAAGGTGTGTTAAGATAACTTGATAATAATATTTACTCCTAGGACCCCTCGGATTGTATGCCGGGCTTACACCAACTTTATTGCGGACATTTACTGCCAGTTCTGGATTATTTATTGCCTACGAATACACAAAGAAATTCCTCCACAACACCTTCTGAAGATGAATCTCATAACATATTATGGTCATATCTCTTTTTCTAACCGAGTATCATCACGTTGATGATGTAAAATGTATCAGCTAAAACACTGCCTTTGCTTTGATGGGTCATTTTTATTTTATTTTACATTTTTTTGATTTGTATTGTCATTGGTCATGAAACATAGTTGTACATTAAGTTGACAAAGTCCGAATGACAATCTTCTTCTGCAAATGCTCCGGCATTTAAAAAGTAGCCTCCAATATGATCGAAGATGGTGTAATTGGTCAGTAGGCTGTTCGAGCAAGCAGGATCCTCCAGTCGACCCGAACACACCTAAAACAATGTAATTTTGCCTTCAAAAATGTAAGCTCACAGAGAAATCGCCATCAGTATGACATCCATTAGGATACCAGACCTCGGTTCCATGATGGAAATAATGCATCGCTTCTTGAACACATCCGGTTTCATTCCGACTTGGTTTGCATGGAGGAATGTGGGGCACGATGTCTCGTTTGTTTACCAGTCGGTAAGAGTTTGGGACGAGCTTATCAAAGTTCAAGGCAAAGTGATAATCTCCCACTCTTGGTTCTCCATACGTCCTCAGGGCTACGTCTTCGGATGATCGGAAATTCAAATCTACAGTCACCGCCGCGGCGATGGCTGCCAAAGCACCGCCTAAGGACATTCCGGAAAAAATAACAGGGTAATCCGAGGTCTCGGGATCTTCGAGAATGACCTTTATTGGAGGCCAAATATGGTTGAATGCAGTTAAAAAGTAATGATGAACATGGCCTCCAAGGAATTCTTGTTCTGGATTCAATGTTTGGGCGAGTTCATCAATTAGTTCGTGGACTGGAAAGGTTGAATCTTAATATTATGCAAGTCAATGGTTGTATCAGAGAATCTTAATTACCCGAATCGGTTCCTCTGAATGCGATCAGCAGCTTTCTTTGCTCCTCGGACCGAACTACTAGCACCGTGCATTTGTCATTTAAAGGCCCAGCACATTTGGATACCTTAAAATCTTTCTTTGTACCATGTTTTCCCTTACTCTGTGATATACTTCCTTCCAATCCGAACTACTTTCTCGGTTGATTACATCCAGACATGTACTCGAATTGATTGCATACCCTGCAGCCACTAATTTCATTTGCTTCAATGCTTCTTTGGGGTCATAAAAATCAGTAAGCGGCTCTGGGTTCGAAAAAGGAAGTAGAATTAGTGCCAAAATTAAATATTTGGCCATATTACACCATCAAATGTGAAACATAAGAGCTTGAAATTGCCGTTGGAATGGCTTTGAAAAGGAGAGGAAAACGAAGAAGTAATATTTTTTATCTCTTTCTGTTCGTCTATCATGAAAAGAGCTCTGTCAACGGCGGAAAAATTAGAAAGTGGCGTTTCACTCATTAAGTTGTAAAAATGTAAAGAAAAATACGTCATCGTGCAAAAAATGTCAGGCTCGTTTCAGCTTATTTATCTGCATTTGTAGACGAAAGGAAAAGCGAAGAAGAGGTAGGTTTACGATAAGTTGCGCAATATTCCTAGTGGGTGTTACAGTAGTCTGCTTAAAATCGAAATTTAAAATGTGTTCTGCCGTTAAGAATTGAACAAAAATTCATTTTTCTTGTAACTGTTTTTTTATTATAAGTTTTTGTTTTCAAAGTTACGTAACTTCCGTCCCCGAATGAACTTTACTTTTATTACGAATATACCATCCAAAACGACTCTCAAATTGACCGTAGACGTCCATTTCATCCGAATGATTCCCCCCGGTATGTACCTTCTTCATAATGAGGTTCTTGGGAGGGAAATCTGGTATATTTTCTACTCGATCAGTGGCTTCTTCGCTTCTTCCGATCGCTTCGAAACCCGTCGGTCGAATCCAGTTCGATCCCAGAAACATGACGAAAACGAAAGGGATGGGTAAAAAAAGAAATTATTTTTTGTGAAAATGAGATGAGCAAACGAACGATGCTTAATTCAACATTATCCCTCGCGCCTTTTTTTATTACGTTACAGGGAGGGGGATTCAAGGGTTTCCGGTGAACTGCTTAACGCTGGTCATTATTATACCTAACAAATTCAAATCATCTCTCAGAGGAAGTACCGATTTTTAGGTGTTGACGGAATCTGGTCTAAATTTAAGGCCAAATTTAACATTTTTAAGGTACGTATTCTATACCGCATTATGCTGAAACGGTGATTTAGACAGAAAAATGATTCAGATTAAGATTTGTCTGATGCATCATGATGCAATATGTCTTCCTCGGTTATTATCAATTTTAAAATTTGACACGGACGATTTTTGAAAGTTTTGTCGTAAAATGGCTAAAAGAAATAAAGACTGTCTCAATTCAACAAATAAATGATTTCAAAACAGTTTCTTTGACTCCTTATGAAACGCTTTTTTCCTTGATAATTTTTACCCCTGGAAAAAATCCCAATGTTCATCTACACTGCATGCTGTGATTACATAAGCCCCCTTTTAAACCTAATGATCCGTCTCCCTCTTCTGTATTCCCTCCGCAACGAACCCATTAAATATCTGATTGTTATGTGTATTGCATGTTGAAGAAGCGGCGGGAGTGATTACTAAAATCCGAAGAAGATCTGGTTTGTTTTCTTCCGAAAGCGAAAGTTGTTGGGAAATAAATGACTTCTGGCGAATGTTTTGGTTTGACAGTTTATATTCTTCGGTATTTAATCCAGTTTTTTATTTTTTATGCAGAGTACAGTATTTTTATTTTGTTCATAACAATTAAATTTTTTACCAGTTTCATTACTTTTTATGGCAATTGTTGTAAATAATAAGATTTTTTTTAATAATGACCAACACGTTACCCTACAAATTGCGCAACACTTACTTTCGCCCCCCAAATCAAGCTTCACGGCTCATTTGGCCGTTCCAATTACCGGTTCCCAATGAATAATTTGTTTTCTCTTACAAGTTATTATTATTTATCGAACCGAAACCGGGTTACCTCAAGACTCAAGGGCCATTTCTTTTTTTGTCTTTTCGTATACGTAGGCTTTCTTTTTTTGTTTGAAGATATACATTGTAGAAAGAAAAAAAGACAATGGAATAATATTTTTTGAGAATTCCGATTGCTTTTGGAAAGTTGTCAAAACGTTTTGGGTGGAGAGTAACCCTGAGGTTATCTAGACGTCGCTATGACTGTGATGGGTAAATCTTTTGGTTCCGGGAAAGGGTATAAGAGTTTGCAAAAACCGAATTTACTTGTTATGCGGAGATTGTAAAATTTTTACGAGTTTCTTTATGGTGTAGAAGCTTATGAAAGTTGGGTTTGGATGAAGGTTGGTCAGATCAGACAGGATTATGAAGTCTAAATGGCTAGCCAAAACGCTGGATTTGCCTTTCTCGAGTGGTATGAAGACCTTCCAATCCACCCTTCGGCTGGCATTTTGGACGATTTTTAATTCATTCAACTTTTTCAATTTTTCATAATCGCAGGGATTCACTATAAAACCAGGGGCCTGTTTCACTAACATAAAAATAAATAAAAGAGAAGTAGGGGGGAGCGAGAGAGCATCGAAAACGCGTTTGCGAGCAAGAGAAACCGAACGAAAAGCAGAAGTAGCCTACTTTTGCGGGAGTGACTTTTTACGTCCAAAACCGCGGTTCGCGGCAGTATTTTGGCCATAACTTTTTTCTCAGTTGGTCTAGGAACACCCTTCAAAATTTACAATGAAGCTGACAGTTTCAGCTATCACCAAGATTATTTTCATTGCTGTGGTGCCAAAACCCGTCCTTAAAAAAATCGTAAAGTACGCGTGCTTTAATTTTTGAGAAAACCGACTAAATTTGAGCTTAAAATTCCCATAACTTGGGTAAAACTTTTCGGATTGAAACCCTCCAAAAAACAACACATAGACTTTTTTAAGTAGTTTTAGACAATATGTGTTTTGAATTCCTTTTATAGCCCGGTGGACCGCTAATTTTACAGTAGTACGGCCAACCATCTCGTTTTTTCTTCTTCGCGGAATAAAAACGCATTTTTCTCACCAATTTTTATAAGAATAATTACAAATTTCATATCAGTGTGTAAAGACGTTTCTTAGCTACATTATGTTTTTTGAGGGGTGGCGATATATCATAAATTGATAGAGTTACGGGCAATTAAATCAAGGTAACCTCCATTTTTGACCATAAAAAGTCGTTCCGAAAGGGGCGAACTTTTCCTCTTCCTTTGATTTGAGGGCTCTTTTTATGACAAAAATGGAGGTAAATTTGCCATAACTCAGCCATAATAAGACCTACAATTGGCCCTCTAAAAAAGCCTCATAGAAAAAAAGACGGGCTATCGACTGGTATAAATCAAAGCGTCAACATTTTGAAATTGACCGAGAAATAAAACATTTCGTATCTTCAGTGTAAATGTACTCTGTACTTTCAGCTATATAGCTAATCTACTCTTGAAAATAAAACAACGAAATTTGGATATGTTGTAGTCTCAACCGTCAGCTTTATTTGGTTTTTTGAAGGGTGTTCCTATACCAATTGAGAAAAAAGTTATGGCCAAAATTCTGCGGCCAACTCCGGTTTTTGGACGTAAAAAGTCACTCCGAAAGAGAAGTAGGCTACTTCTGCTTTTCGTCCGGTTTCTCTCGCTCGCAAACGCGTTTTCGATGCTCTCTCGCTCCCCCCTACTTTTCATTTATTTATTTTTATGTTAGTGAAACAGGCCCCAGCACTATTGGAAAATTTTTCAATTTCTTGCCTCTTTTTTCATAAAAGGCAAAAAGTTCTTCCTGATGAAGCAACTCGTAAATTTTAATGGCTTATAAATCGCAGAAATGCCTGAGGCTAAATTTCCAAAATACCTAAATCCATTGTTGCAGGTAACTGGAATGCCGTTGAAACGGCGCGATGCATTGAAGAGCCGCCGACGAAACCCCCAAAACAAACAACAACACCATTCCCAGAGCTATTCCACTTCCGGTTTCAGTTGTGCAGATGCCTGCCTGAATACGGCGATCTCTTTTTCTCAGACGGTGAACTCAAGCCGTGTGAGTTCTGAGGAAGAGAATAAAGATGTCAGGCCAGTGACGACGCGAAGGAAGCGATGGATGTATATAGTCTTGGCAACAGTTGCTTTTACACTCTCTTCGATACAAATGGGTAGGGCATTGGTCAAAAATTATATTACACTTACCATCTAATTCCTTTGGAATCCCTTTTATAATAGTCATTGTTTTTAGCCTCCTCAACAGTGGTAATAAAAAGATTAACAGCCAAACAATGCCTTACAAATCCCTGTCTAAATGGGGGAACTTGCACTCCCGGCAAGATAGCTTGTGATTGTGCTCATGGATGGATGGGGAGATTCTGCAACCGTACGTTGATCCAGTTGTATATGAGTGCAGATTTCAGGCAGGTGTCGGAATATCTATCAAAGTTGCGATCGATGGGCATTGGAAGAAAAGTGTGAAGTTGTGAGGACTCAAACAAACTTCTTTGACATCAACTGTGCCGTTTCTTGTGGGATCTGCACTTCTGATCCAAGTGTTCGTAAGTATAATTAAAATCAGGCAGTACTCTTTAAAAAGAACCCTGAAAATGACTAATCATTACCACCGCTTAGACCTACCACGAATCCCATTGGCCCCCGCATTAGAGCCTTTACAATTTATGCTGGGCCGCTGGTATTCGGCCGCTTCCAAATCTTATCGATTCCCATCAGATATGAAAGGGGACACCTATGAAGAGATCTTGGATATCATGCCTGCAGAAGTACCCATGTTTGGAGCACCATCTCTTAATCTGACGTAAGGCTAACGAATTTCAACAACAATATTTTTCGGGAATGGATGACTTAAAATAATGTTTTTAGAAGTACATCCTGGTCTGGACCAGACCGTCGGATCGTCCACGGATTCCTAACACTTAAACCTAACTCAATCCCCCCAGAAGTAGCTATTTTGAGTACAGCAAATGAAGGTTTGAATATGATTGAGTTGGGGAGTATTCAAGGAGGTGCGGCTACCTTCAATATATCTTATATGCAGGTCCATCCCGGACTAAATAGCGTTCAATTACCTCTTGGAGTAAGTTCTAAGTAATACATTCAATTGATTTTTCTAGGCAACCCGGAGATTCAAACGACAAGGAGCTCTCTTGGAAATGACAGTGGCCAAGCTCTATTCCCAGAATCGCGTCCAGCAATTTAAGAAGATGTTCCGGAAGATATATTCATATCAATATTAGGACAGGTGACATGTATAAATAGATGTATTATGCCATAACCGCGACTAAACTGCTTTATCTCCACTTTTTTCAATAAAATTCGACAATTCTTTATCGACCAATATGTTTTTGACATTGTGCAGGAAAAATCGATTGACTTTTTGACGGAATGTAACTAATATTATTCTTGAAAAATTTATTTTTCAAGATGGTTTCAAGGGAAGTTTCCTCTTCGGGTCAGGTAAGATTTTCGTTACTTATGATTTATTGGATTAAGTTTTAGTCGAGGATTATTGGATTATGCTTAAGGAATCCGGATATTGCTTATGCTGGAGAGAAAGTGGTTTTAGTAACTTACGAGGAACGTCATGTTAGAACATATCACGATTGGATGGAGGATGCGGAGATCAGACAGAAGACAAATAGTGAGCGATTGGATTTTGAAACGGAATGTCGGCAGCGAATACCTTGGAGAAGACACAAAAAGCGAGGAACGTTCTTGATTATGGATAGGAAAGCGTTTGAAGAGAACAATGGGGATGAGGTGATTTTTTAAATATTTTCTTCGCAGTTTTAGACGGTATTGTAAAGGATTGGTAATGACTGTACCATTTTTCAGTTTGAATCTTTGTTGGGAGACACGAATTTCATCCAATATCCCGATTACATCGAGATCCTTGTTATGGTCGCTGTTCAGATGCGTCGAAGATGTGGAATAGGGTCTGAAGCAGTTAGGATAATGTTATATCACATTTCTCATTTCCGACAGGGAAGGAAAATCATGGTAAAGATCAGCTGCGACAATGTTGAGAGCATCACCTTATTTGAGAAATTGGGATTCGTCGTGACAGAAAAGAGCGACGTTTTCAAAGAAGTGACACTGGAATTGCCTGAGGATGGGTTGCAGACCCTTTTAGAAGACGTTCACATTTGTTATCAGAATAACAAGCTCATTGATGAACTGTATTCTGTCTCGAGGAGCTATGACATCCATGGAGATGACGTCTCGGACAGCGAAAATTGATTCTAAATGCCGTGGATTAACGGGGTGATTACTCCATTCCGGTGATTGTTTTCCAAATTTTTTTATTTAATCTGATATGTTGTTGAAATTATAAATGCTGAAACTAATTATTGAGTTATAGTGACAAATAGGAGTTAAGATCTCTGTCTCGGACCTTTAGGCCTTGATTGAGAACCGTTGAGTGTATTGTTTTCGGATGGGCATCTCCTTTGTATCCGGGAGCTCCCGATTGTGGGCAGTCCAGACGGGAACGCCTTGGAAGAGACGTTTCACTTGGATGTAGTCCTAGAAACAAATGTCAGATGGCGTTTGACGTTGAGTGCTCTTCAATGGGAATAAAATTACCTTTAAGTCAGGAGAAAATCTATGGTAAGATCCAGCCGGAATAGTAATCAAATCTCCTGGCTCACTTTTAATTCGAATCCAACGGTCCTAAAATATCCGCTAGCATACGAAAAACCACTTACGTTGTCATCGCGAATGTCAAAGTACCCACAACCGTCGATAATATACCTGATTTCATCATCGGTATGTAGATGTTCAGTAAAGAAATTTTTGACCTTCTCCTCATATTGTGGCAATTTCTCCTTAGAAACGATGATCTCATCGCTGTAAGTGTACCCTCGAGACAAGGCCAGTGGTTCCAACTCTTTTTCTCGGTTGGCCGGGTCTAACTGTAAATTTTGGATTATTTGGCCAGTAAAGAGCTATAAAATAATATAAAATGTTGTGTTACATAATCTACAAGAGCCCCGATTTCTTTCAATTTCTCCAGTGAGACCGGTTCTGGGGGATTTAGCTGGCATTCTTCTCTGGAATTCGCTGGATTGGCTTCCATATACCATGCTTGGACCATTTTCAACTTGATTGGGCTAAAAATAAGACTTTTTCCGGCAAAATGGTTACAAATAATTGAATCTTAGAGGTCGGCAACACAAGAAACAACAAAAAGTCCACGAACGTTAGACAAAAACCCCGATTTCGATCAATGAAAGCGAGTGCTATCAATAAGAAGATAACGAAGTGCAAAAAATTGCCACTAAATGGTACAGTTAAAATCACCAGGAGGTTACCGTACTGCCTCAGCTTGCAATGTGCTGAGGTCCACGAGAGAATTTAGCCAGATAAAGATCTAATTTTTATTATCCTTAATGTTTTGGAATGGTTGTAACAAATTCGGAACAGGGTTATCAGAATGATGAAACGTTCAAAGATCTTGCAAACAATTTTTTTGCAAAAAAGAATATTGCAACATAAAAAGATGTGACTTTTGTACTTATTATCGATACGGATTCACTTTTTTGTATTTTATTTTGTCTAGTCATTATATTTTAAGCAACGTAATGCCCCAATTTATTGTACGTTCGAATTGTTTATGAGTCTACCAGAAAAATGTCTACCGAAATGTAAAAAAAATTAAATACTTTGTCGGAAGCAAATTTCACAATTCGCCTAAAAATATAATTTTTATTTTCTCGAGGTCATATGACACAAGAAAATACACGATGACTCATCCCGTGTACTAATATCCATTACTTTTTTGACCACAACTCGTCTGTTCTCCTCGGCCACAGCCGCTTATTCATCTCCGTTCCAGCTGTCATGAAATCCGAGCATGATTTTTCGATTGGTTTTTTATTTGTAACCGAGCAGAAGATGCAATGTTTATAAAAATTTTATTATCTCCCGGAAATTCGATCCGCCTTATAAACAGAGCTAATCAGTCGGAGAGCGGCGACGGCCTGGGACACAATTTCGAAATTCGCGGCGCGTTTTTTAAAAATTGCTCGCGGAAATCGGCGGCCCCCGCATAATTTGAATATGGGGGCGGATGAACGGGGACCGGGAAAACGTTTCCGGATAATTCAACAATTAGCTCGACTTTAAGCGAATTTCGTTTTTCGATGTTCTTTTTTGTAGTTTTTTCGAACAGACCGAGGAGGAGGAATATACTGGGAATCTGTTTATATACGACTATTTACTTTGCTGATTGTATCTGAGGTTTGGAAATACATTTTTCGAGAGCAATTTGATTGTTTGGCGGGCAATATCGTCATCCGAATGATATAAAAAGACAGATTTTATGTAAAAGTCCATCCATCTGGCTAGTTAAGGGCATTTTGAGTTTATCTTGTCTCTTTCGTATTCAAAAGACTTGAACCGGTCTCAGTTGTCCCTTCATTTCCGAATCACAAAGTCCAGTTTGTAAATGACTACAAACCTGACATGCCCACTACTACAGTAGAACTCGAGTGTTTTGAATGTTTTCTGTACTTTGTTTCAACTTTTGACATTTTAAAAGATTTCTTTAGACCAAGTAGAGATATTACCGCATCCGTGACATTATATTCCAATTGTCCAAATTCATTGATCACTCGCCTTTCCTATATCTTCATACTTGACCTTTTAAAAGCTGTACTGACCACTGAGTGTCACAAATCAGAGAAATAAAATAACCCGGACTGAGAGGAAAGAAGAAAGGTTCAAGAAAACAGAGGTTTGGTCTAGTGCTCTTCAAAGATATTTTTATACAACAGACAAGAGATGATTCTCAGGATAAAGTCTATCCCTATATTGCTATTTGTGATATCACTCCCCGTTTGCGATGGGTTTGTAAATCCTGTTTGTAAGTTTCCCTTTTTTACAAACAATTTCCGGCCTCTTCTGCCGCCTTCGTACCAAACACGTGTTTTTTTCAGTCAATCGGACGATAAAACCGACCGGAGAATATTTTACAACACACATTCTGGCACACTTCCATGATTTCGATAATTGGTATCACAAAGAAAACAAGACCTTCAGGGATATTTATGAGGAAGCAACCAATCAGACGTTACTTGAAGAAGATGCCCAGCCTTTCTTTGATAGGATTTTTAAGGGGTTGAAGGATGCGGCACCCGAACTAAGATCATTTAAACTTCATGTAAATAACATGGTGTTTGATCGGCAAGTTAATTCTACTGATGAAGACGAAGTAAGAAAAGCAATATTTTTTTTTATTTGAGAATGTCACAAATATTTACTGATATAATTTTTAAGGTCATTGCCAAGCTTCGAGCGATCCAACAGTTATTCCGCGATCACATTACAACAATTGTGACTTCAGCCAATCGCTATAACTTGCATATCGAGGCTTATGACACATATGCGCGTGTGATGTCAGCTTGCGAGGAGGGAAATACTGCCCCAGGCTGTCGAAGCAGACTGGTTTTAGACAAGGCTTTTCCAGATCATGAATGGCATGATGATGATTATAGATTGGATACGATGCAAAGAATAGGAAACACAAAAGGAATTATTCAAATGATTTATCATGGAGGGGACATCCCACTGGACGTGGGGAACCATGTTACCGGTGACAGTAGGTTATTGGAAGTGAATTATAATCGTCCTTTCAGCGATTCATCATTTACTCCCCACCGGGATGGCGTTGACTTGTGACGAACTTCAAGGGAAGGAGAGACATATGGGAACTCATGCGGACCGAAAAGTTTATGCCGAGGCCTTGAATAAGATCAAAGAAGAGGTCAGTAGTCTTCAATCTTTTACCCTTGTTTGCGAACGCACTGTGGATCTGAATGAAACTTCAGAAATTGAGGTAATCTTTATTTTCTCTGAATTTTGATAGGTTTTTCAAACCTTAGCGGAACATCGTTTTCTAGAATATCCTTGAGATGAGGTCTGCTGTCGCAAAGGTAGACCAAGAAATCAAATCGATAATCGAGGAGGCCTTGAAGGTAGGTGTTCATATTGAACATATCTACGAGCACATTAACTTCTTCACTCCCGGCTGTGCCGAGGAAATGCTGGTCACCCGTTGTAATCGGGAGCTCCAATTGCCTAAGGCTTTCCCGGATATTCCGCTGGACAATACTCTTTTTACGAAAGTCTTCAAACGAGATCTATTTCATGGCGTTCCGCGCCACTTGAGAATACTGTAACTTTATGTATAAAGGAAGCAATGTAATTAATAAATAACCTATTTAGACCCTGACGAAGGTGTAATGTTTATAATAGTATAATGAAATCAACTACTTAATTGTTTTCCGACTCCACATCACGTTATTTCAAGCGTATTTACATATATTCGGTTCGGGATTAAAATATTCATGTATGTAATTGCTCGTGCCACATGGGAATGCTATCTCATCGCGGATGAACAAAATCCAGGAAGTTGGCCAAGACTTGCATGATTACTGTATTGTTGAGGGAGGGTTTCACAATTTCTTGGTACTTGGGATTTTCGTTGATGTAGCCGGTATTCTTTTCGTCGAGGATGACAGTTGGTATGTCCAAGTTTACGGGAAACTCAGGCCTTACAGCCATTATCCCATCGGGCCGAGTTTCGTCAACAACGTTCTCGACGACAGATTTATGAGTGGGATGGGGAGATTGTAGTAGTAAAACGGCGTTGGTCTTGTTGAAGCTCGGGGAGATTTTACTGTAATCACTGTAAGTGACAAAGTAACAGCAATGCCCTGAGGCCGCGATTTGTTGAATAATACTTGGGCGGCCAGTGAAGAAGCTGTTGTCCATCAAATCGTGGAGCAGAAGGATATTTCCACGACGTTTGATTAGAAATGGCGGCTCAGCGAAGAAATATCTAAAGATTTGTAGTTATATACATACATATATAATGCCGAAATCAAATATCTGTATACACTTCGAATTATAGTTATGTCTTTACTTGGAACCTTACAAAACAACACTTACTTTGCTCCATTTCCCTCTTTCTCCTCCACCTTGACATGAACTCCGTTTGCTGGAATGTAGAGATTGAGCGGGCGTTTGGTGAAATTGAAATTCTGAATTGTAGCAGGCAATTTCTCTTTCTTGGCCGTCTTACTATGTCCATGTGACAGAATGAAACACAGCAAGCAATAAGTCAGTAGGATTTTCATTTTTCTTGAATAAAATCCTTGTGTTTTTGAGGGTCGGCGGTTCTTAGATTTGTGTCAGATAATCAATTCAGCTTGTTTTTGGGGGTGGCGAACTTGTGAATGTAGAACACTGGCTGAGTAATCGAGTTCCTTTTTCACGTCTCTTGTAGTTAAATTGACATTTCAAGACAATTGAATAGCCGACTTTGTCGCTGTTTTCATATGACATCTACATCCCAAAACACAAAAAAAGTTGTTGTGAGGGCATAAATATTGTATTAGAAAACAGTTCCGTCTGGAGTTTATTTACAGACTAAAGCGGACCGTATGTTTAAAATGACGCCTCTTCCATACTAAGTAGCCTGCCGGATAAATATATATGTAAGACTCTATCTTTACACAACTGAGTGTTTTTAAACGTGGGTTGCAGCCTATTGCAAAACCTGGCCCCAGCTTTAAACAGTCGGCCTTGCCCTTTTCACAAACTTTAAAAAATGGCAACCCAGTTCGACGAACAGATTGTGATGAAATTATGACCCGGATTGTAGTGTCTAATTAACACACAATCTCTGTCATGCGTATGCATTGTCTGCCATCTGCGATAAAACACTACAATTTTGACATTTGAATACAGTTTCAGTGACGAAAGAAACGAATACAATCCTTAATGTAAGGGCTTTTATTCTGCATGCGCATATTTCGAAAGGATTTTAAAGATGTTTAGAGATGGCCGGGTACGTCAGGAAAAAATGGAACAAGGTCGGGCGCTTAATGAAATTTTCTTGGCACCCAGCAAAAAATTGAACTTATGCTTCGTCAAAACGGTATGCTCAATTTCGAGCAAAAGACGCATACTGCTTACAAGGGAAGTCGTTCAGATCGCAAATGAACTATGACATGAGACCTGTGTGGTTTTATAGTCACATACTCTACTATATCGAATATAAAGGCATTTTTGCGTCTGGGCCCCCGCGGCCGAGAAAATCGACTATAAAGTTTCGCAAGAAGAGAGCGCCGAAAAAGTCCTCTCTCCGAAAGCAAACCCAAACAGTTGCCCAGTTGGCCGAGTGGAAAGAGCGCTCGTCTAACGAATCTTCTTTTGGGTCGGGGGGCTGGGTTCGATTCCTTTCACCTGCAATGTAAAGGGTAATACTACTGTGTACACTACAGTATGCGTAAAAAAAAATTTTTTTTTGTGTTTTTCCAAATTTTATGTAGATTTGTGCCTTTTCTTGAGACAAAAACAAACAAATTTAGTCGACTTTTCTCCAGACTGTTAAAAATGGCATGACTTGGAATGATAATCGGAGAGCTTCCTGCGGCTACGCCGCAAGGCTATCGGAAAGTTGTCGAAAGGAAGTAAAGTGATTTTTTATCACTCTTTGATTTTGTTTGGACATGGGATTGGCGCCTAAAAATGTTGTGGCTCTCCTCTTGGCCGAGTTCGGAACCGGGAACTCCGAAGACGCGACTTACGAGGAGATTCGGATGGCAACCCGACTGAAGATTCTGCTGTCTCAAGCGGCGGAAGACGCGAATATTGAGGTTCAAACGGACGATGAGATTATGGACAACAATAGCAGTGGACTGAACGTCCTTCCGGACGTTCAGTCGATGTGAAAACTATTCCCACCCGCTGTACCTCCTTGATTCAGCCACTTGACCTATTCTTTTTCCGTATCTTCAAAGGATTTGTGAGGCGAATCCATAGTCACGTCCTCGCCAACGATCTAAAATTCCCTTTGTACAAAAGGGAAAACTTTTAATTGTTTTAAATGTTGTCTACTCTCAATTTAAAAATCCAGTCTTTGATAACTCCAGGAAGTATTCGTTTTTCAAAGGAGGTTATCTTGACAATAGGCCTCCTTCCTTCAAGACTCCAGTGGAGTATTGTTTCCCCCATGATGTCCACACAGCTTGTTCTGCTTCTAGTTGTGACATCTTGTCTTTTGTTTTGTGCTCGTACTGTAATCAAAAACTTTGTTTTCATCATTTTGTTGAATGTGTTCACGACTGTTGTTAAATGATAGTTAAAAAGTTAAATAAAAAAATTAGTAATTTTGTTTGTTTTTGTCTCAAGAAAAGGCACAAATCTACATAAAATTGGAAAAACACAAAAAAAAATTTTTTTTTACGCATACTGTAGTGTACACAGTAGTCTTACCCTTTACATTGCAGGTGAAAGGAATCGAACCCAGCCCCCGACCCAAAAGAAGATTCGTTAGACGAGCGCTCTTTCCACTCGGCCAACTGGGCAGCTGTTTGGGTTTGCTTTCGGAGAGAGGACTTTTTCGGCGCTCTCTTCTTGCGAAACTTTATAGTCGATTTTCTCGGCCGCGGGGGCCCAGACGCAAAAATGCCTTTATATTCGATATAGTAGAGTATGTGACTATAAAACCACACAGGTCTCATGTCATAGTTCATTTGCGATCTGAACGACTTCCCTTGTTAGGCCGATCTTAGAATCTTACTTATGTAATTCAGCTTATTAGCATCCGTTTTCCCCGTGATTTGGGCATATGTTGCAGTTTTTCAGGTCGCTAAAGTAGGCCTCTAAAATGGATGACCTCTTAGGCAGAGCATAAAATTTTTTGGCGATTAGGAAAAATTGCAGACCGAGCTTTTGTGCTAGCGGGCATAAAGAAATTTTAAAAATTCCCCCGGCCTGTTTATACATATTCTTGAGCACACCAGCCGGGTCGCGAAGATCACCTAAGCCCGACTCGCAAACTCAAAAGGTCTTCAGCATTAGGTTAGCTTTTTTTTGTCATCATCAATGCAATATTGTAGTTTTAACGACATAACCCGTTGCAAAACACATTAAGAAGACGATTAACTCGATATCGCAATTATGTAGACGTTGGCGACATAGAATAGGGAAAAAACGCGTACATGAGACGATGGAACTGTTGCCTCTGACCCTTGCCCGCAGGCATTATTCGTTAATTGCCTTCTCCTTATTGGCATTCCTTCAACCTTTCCGGCTTAAAGTACTCCAGCGCGTTGTTATGTTTTATTTTCCGTTCTGAGCCATTTTCGTTGAGTTAAATAGCCACTGCTTACTGTAGATTGATAAATTGAAGGATATCCTTGAGGGGTTCGCCGGAACTTGGCAACAGGTGGAAATACGCCTGGTTGAGAAACATAACGTGTAAGCAGTCTTTGCAGTCAAAGTCTACAAACGTTGATGACATGTTAAAGTCGTCTGTAACTCGTATTTGATAAGTACAAGTAATATATGAACTTATTTCGATGACCCCATTAAGTCCACCATGTTTTAAAACATTTTAGAGAAGAGGCGTTAAACTGTTGTACAGTACCCATACAGGCAACTGATGTAATAGGTCTTCACATCATTATTGAAATCATTCTAAGGTTTACGTGTATCAGATGAAAGAAGTCAATTCAATGGAGTCTTAAAAGGGTACTTTAAGGGATACGATGGGGACAATTATTATTGTATTTGAATTATCCCACTTGGGCAGATTTTTTACATCATTTTATATCTTCTTACTTTGTATATTGCTATGATTAAAATTAGAATACAGCCATTCTTGCTGAATTTGAACGATCCCCATTCGCTTCGAGCAATCCAAAAAATGGCGGAATACATTCCGACCCACACTTCAGGTGATGTAATTTGTTGCGTTTACTGTCGTGCCAAATTTTAAATACACACACTTTGCACAAAACTACTGGATTGTAGGAAATTACAACCCGTTACAATTAATTTTTACATTAAAATGGAGTCGACTGTAAATTGTATGTAAAAAAACTTTACAAAATCATGCCGACCTTTCGTTGAAGCTACTGTATTTGGGTTGTAGTCGGGGAAGTTTCTGAGACTTAAAGAAATCTAGGCTTAAGACGGGAATGTTTTCCCACTCAAATTTTTGCATGTTTTGTTTATCATCGGATCAATGATCAAATTATTGTAGTCTGAGGTAGAGACGCGGCCAAATGGTACTGGAAATGCTTACTAATCGGAATACAACCTATCGCTGCAGTAGGGAAGGAAGTCGTTTTATTGTAGTGTCACGCAGTTCTGGTGAAATCACGGAAAGATTAGCAGTTTGAACGGACACTGAGGTAGCCTTTTTCACATTGTAGATTCACATGGTTATTTTTCCAGCCATCAATTGTTTATCGTTTATACCTTCCGTAAACAGTATTCTTGGAGTAATATCCAGAGTTCATAAGTGTTTTAAGTTTGTTTATTACACCATGTGTCAGCCGCTGACTGCTTAACGCCATTACAAGCACAGAAAAAACGTATCCCGATTTTAAAATACGATACATTTGTGTGATCTTTCGCCGGGTTTCAACAGTTGTTGCAAAAATTACTTTAAACTGCACGTAGCCATGCCTTTCGTACCGGTCTCAAAAACAAGATTGTACCGTAGATTACAGTCAAATTTCGATAATTTTTGCGCTGACACCAATTTCGCCACCGCGGATGCTTTGCTGTTTGCTGCCACTTGTTTTCGGTAGAATTTGACGGCTTCAGCCGTCTGACACCTTTACAATGATTGGATGATCCGACGGCGGACTTGTCGTAAAATCTTCACATTATAATTCAAAATCTTTTTTCGCAAGAAATTGGCCGCATCAGGTAGAGCGACAAAAATAAACCCAATTGCACCCGGCTTCGTCATATTTTTTCCTCATGGGGAACCTTCGGTTGCAACTTGTAAATTCGAACTTATCATTTTATTCAAAAATGAATAATCTCGTATAATTGCACATAGGGAAAATCGAAGATATGGCTTGTAATCTACTTGTCCAACTGGCTATCCGAGGGTTAGGCTTGTTCTGGGCAATTCCTGTTGATGACTTGGTCAACAAAATCCTGCAATTTGGCAGATTACAAGCAAAAGTCTTGATCTGAATGAAGTAAGACACTGCGAAACATGCAGGGTATCGTCGGATATAGAAATGGCAAACGGGCCGGGCCGCTAAACCTTGAGCCAATTGGATTTCGAACTCTCCACGAAGCAGAGGGATAGAAGAGAATTGAAAGC